GTAAACTCCACCAGTGACAAAAAGTAAACTTCCCTCAGAACAGAGGGGATAACAGCCACAAAAAACACTAGGTTTCTTTATCAGTGACAACAAGTAAACTTCTCTTGTTTCATAGAGGCTAACCTTTACTGACTCATCTATCTTATAAAGCCAGAATTTCTCTTCAGTTCGAAAATGGCGTTTTACTCACCAAGTAGGTTTCAGTAAGCCATCCGGGTCACGGCACCAAGTTGTTAGAAATTCGGCAAGAAGAGTCAGGAGACTGGAGCTTCAGTGTTGACTGGAGTTTATTTCCACATACAGAGTATGGGTACAGCATGGTCGATTAGCAGTCAATCAGCAGGATCAGGAGTCTAGTCTTATTCACGTGCAGACAAACCTCAGGGGGAACAATACAGATAAAACACCAAAAGGCACACAACTGTAAGACAAATACAGCTGACACAACAAAAAGACAACATGGTTTAGAGCATAGAAGAAAGCAAATGTCAAAAGACCTATACTTTCTCTCAATATACAGTGGATAAAGTTGCACATTGTAATTATAGGGAACAAAGTGTATATACAGAGGATGTTTTGTTATATACAGTGGTATATACAGATGAATAGAGTGGTATGTACAGTGGATGCAGTGGCATATACAGTGGATGCAGTGGTGTAAACAGTATGCTTTTTAAAATCTCTGTTGGGTTATTTGTCATGAAAAGGGCTGAAAAGAAAACCAATAATAATAATAATAATAATAATGTTACATGGTTTTCTTATGCCGGAGATAATACACTAATATATGATTAAACGTGCAAGAGGGGAATTTTATGTGACAACTTGTATAAAAAGAAAAACAAATGGACAGAGAGGGAGCTGATAAATGCTTCTAGGATGATGAAAAATACTTCCATATATGCTGGTAACACATAGAGTATTTTAAATGAATAATATTGGGAAGAGGAAGGCAGTTTTCATGGAACGTGCTTTGGGGAAGCTTCTGATGTTGATTAACAGAAGAGTCCCCCTCGCTTCACTTTCTGACAGGAAGGTAACAAATGGAAGCCAAATACTATGTTGTTCTTCAGTGTAGCTGTAAGTTTTTCCTTGTTTGAGTGGTCAGTTAAGGGTAGAGGCATCGCTAGGCCAGTTTCAGGACAGCTTTAGCTCCACCATAATATTATTTAGCCTCCCAAATTAAAGTTATTAGTTCAATTAATCAACAGTATTTTGCATTCATCATTTAATTTTGCCATTATGTCTCCAAATTCAGAGTATACTGGCATAGGAGGGTGTGAACTGAGGGAGGCGCTACTGCTCTAATGCACAACTGCCTCAGCAGTACAACCAGAGATTTACTAACATTAAAACAGCATAATATCAGACCGTGTAAGTTGTAAGCCAATCATATCAGAGCTGGGGGAGGGAGCTCTGGTGATGCTTACTCTGCAAAGTGACGTCAGCTGAAGTTGTTGACAAGATTTTAGGTAAAAGAAAATAAAAGTTAGTCTTATTCAAAATATATAACGTACAGTCTGAATCAGTACATAGTTACAGAGTAAAGAGATCTACCTACATGATGGATTTCTGCAAACTGTGGTCAGTGTAGCTGGCTAACAAGTTTTTAGCTGGTCGCTTGTTAGCAAGCTTACTTTCTTAGCTATATATTGTTTTTTTATTATATATAGCTAACAATAGTGTTGTGTGGATCATAATGAAGTTCCATGTCCCAGAATTCCTCAATCTGTAGATGGTCATAGGTGGCAGCTCTCTAGAAGGTGAGTCGGGCCATTTGTCAAGTCGTGATATTATATTAATAAGTTATATTATTCTGGTCACTGCTCAAAGGTCATAAAGTGGCTCCCTTTAAACACTTGACAAATGCTTAATAGTTTGTTGTTTTCACAGTGATTTAAACACTGGAGGATCAGAAAGTAAGGAAGAAAAGTCTACCAAAGCCACCATGTTAGCAAAGCCACCATGCTATAAGAGTTTTGATTTGTAGACACTATACTAAGAGTCTTGATTTATAACTACCATGCTAGAGTCCTGATTTATAGCCACCATGCTATAAGAGTCTTGATTTGTAGCCACCATGCTAAGTCTTAATTTATAGCTACCATGCTATAGTCCTGATTTATAGCTACAATGGTAGAGTCTTGATTTATAGCCACCATGCTATAGTCTTAATTTATAGCTACCATGCTATAGTCCTGATTTATAGCTACAATGGTAGAGTCTTGATTTATAGCCACCATGCTATAGTCTTGATTTATAGCTACAATGGTAGAGTCTTGATTTATAGCCACCATGCTATAGTCTTAATTTATAGCTACCATGCTATAGTCTTGATTTATAGCTACAATGGTAGAGTCTTGATTTATAACCTCCATGTTATAAGAGTCTTGATTTATAGCTACCATGCTATAAGAATTGTGATTTATATCCTCCTTGCTATAAGAGTCTTCATTTATAGCCACCATGCTGGAGTCCTGACACATTTCTACCATAGAGTCCTCCAAATTCCCAAGTCTTACAAAAATAGCAGCTTTAAGTGTATCAAACTGAACAGTCTAAACAGTGTCTCCCTTTAATGATGTCTATTTGATAAGAATTAATCAGTGTATAACCGTTTCACCTCAGCATGAAAAACTCACTTAAGAGTTTAAGGTCTATACTGATTAGGGAAGCAGGTCTATTGTTAGAACAATGTGCTGAAATGTTAAAAGAACTTTACTTTTACTCTTGTTTCCAAGGTGGAATGACCTTTTATTGCTTATGCGAACTGCTCCAGTAGCACTCATGAGTAGAGTTTCCCTCGTCCTATATGTACAATCATCATATCAACACATTGAGTGAGACCCTCATTTACAATGTAGCTGAGCCAAATACAGAAAACAGGGATCAGAAAATTAAAATGTTAAAACATTTCAAATGCCAAGAGCAGTGATAATGGTCATAATAGTAAAGTTAATAGTAAAAAAAATAAATATCTATAAACCATTAAAATTGCGGTAGTATAGTAACTTAAATAACAGATCAAATAAGGATAAAATAAATAAAAACAATTAATGAAATAAATAAAGGAATAGAAGATGTAAAATAGTAACTTGGCAATAATAAAATAAATAAAAAGAATAATTAAAGTGAAACAATAGCTAAAACAGTCTAGCTAAAACAGCTCCACAGTCACAGTTTAATTACTCCAAAAAGTGTTTCTGGAAACAGAACTATGCCATGTTTAGTTTGGGTGAAAAAGCTACAGTTTAGCTGAGGTGTCACATGTAGGAAACATTACATCTGGCTAGTTTTCATAAGGCTCTGACTGTTCATCAGACCCCAAAGGGGTTAACATGCCGTGCGTGCAAAACGGCCCAAACTAGACATGTTCTGTGAGGAAGAGTGGGTGAAGATAAAACAAGAATAGAATAACTCCTAGTTGGCTACAAAAGGCGTTTGCAAGCTGTGATATCTGCCAAACAGGGTGTAGGCACTGTAATATGTCATGCATGATGAAACGTTTGCATACAGCAGTGTCAAAAACCCACTGTACATATTCAATGATCGCTGCTCAAATGTGCTATTGACATTTTATAAAGACTGGGGTATCATTTTGCAGCTTTTACATGTTGTCGCAGTCCAAAGAAAAACATGTAAATATGTTCAAAACAAAAGTATCCTTTAGTTCATTAATAAACTGTTGAATTAAGCGAATGACCCCATTCATAACAACTATGTGTCCCACTTACACAGTTTTCGCAAAGATTCTGAGATTCACCGATGTTTTCTTATTTGAGATTTGTTCTTCGGTAAGAACAGAATCTACACACACTCAAGAGCACAAAGGTGTGAAGAGTTCTGTGGTTTAAGAACACGTCATGAATCTGATGTACACTTTTTGTTAGGAACTTTCTCAAGAACACATTTAAGAACAAACATACGAAAATATTGGTGAATGAGACCCAATGGTTCTAAATAGAAGCATGATCACTTAAAGAACCATTTGCATGCTAAAATAGTTCTTTGCATGGTGAAATCGTTCCTCAGATGCACGAAGAATGTGTTGTATATGGTTCTTGATAGAATATTTTTTAAAATGTTTTTTTCATAGCACCCAAAAGAGTCTTGCTATTATTACGAGGTCAAGCTTGTGACGATAGAAGAACCCTTTTAGAGCTATATAGAACCATATACAACACATTCTCCATCAATCTCCATCAATTCTCCATCAAGCGTGCAAATAGAGCTTGGAGTGTTCAGGGTTCTATATAAAAACACTGTCTTTACCAAAGAACCCTTGAAGAACCACCTTTTTTAAGAGTGCAGTGAAGCAGCTAAGCCAGTGTTAATCCCACTACACATAGAGTGACTCAGAATTATGAGTGACTGTTAATTTAATACAACGTTTAATACATGTCTGCAAAAGCTTTGGCGCCCCTGCTCAAATTCCATGTTGTTAACATGTTCTCTGACACACTTATGAGAACACATCTCTACACACTCAAACGCACAATTACTGTTTTTTTGCTGTATTTAAATAAATAAATGTATAATAAATAAATAAATAAATAAATGTGGCCTGTGCAAAAGTTATGGCACGTTCTATTTTATGTATACTTTCACCAGTATGGTAAACTACATACATAGAAAATTAGGAGAACTTAAAAAAGTAGAATACATATAACTGAAATATCTAAAATAAATAGGAAATGTGTAGAACATGTTAAAAAATGAACAAAGCATGTCAGTTAACTGGAGGTGTTCAAACTTTTACATTCAACTGTATGTCTGCAGCATCAACACTGTCTTGAAGTACAGTACAGTGCACTGTACAGTAAATGACACTTCTTCTTTTTTTTTTTTTTTATACAAAGCGCAAACAAGAGACGGACCCCCCCCCATGAGCAGAGGGGCAGTAGGGGGGAGTGACCAGAGGGCTTTTCCCTCTCTTATCATTGGTCATCCTCAGACCTGTGGCCAACTTAAAACCACACCTCATCCTCTGTCCCGGTCACAGCAGGCAGAGTGCAGACAGTGAGGAGAGTGTCAGAGCAGCTCAGTGTCCAAACATGCCAGCGTACTCCACCAGCATGAGGCTGAAGTTGCCCATCTTGGCCTTGATCCTGGAACTTGTCACCATTCTCCTGTACGCGCTTTTCGTGGTGTACGATGACGGCAAAACTGCAAGTCACCACGATGGTGGCCATGGCAAAGACAACAGCACTGACCCTCATAATGAATCAAACCCTGTGGCCCTCTACCCCAGTAAGTACCCACTGTTACAATGCTGCATTCAGAGCACTGCGTTTCAGCTTTGATGTTGTGGTGTTATTGCTGTAACGACTGAGATCGAAAGGACATTTTTTGCACATTTATGTACTTTGATATGCATTTTTTTCCACTTGTCTATCATGTGGCCACATAATGACCCCATTCATAAATCTACAGAACATGTCTTGTCACATGAAATGTCTTGTGATATACTTGGTGATGCTTATACAACTGAATATTTACCATCCAGTCAAATATTAGATATGTATGGGATTATTAACCCCTTAAATGTTCAGGTCTTACTGAACTTACTGTTAAAACAGTGGTTATATGCTCAATGTAACTTTAATGAGACGTAATATAGAACATGTATGTTCCCTAAGTGAAGGTACTGAAGATGTTTCACCATGCTGACAGTGTTTGCACCCAGAACTTTTTTTCTTCTGAGAGTGTGGGATATGATGAGCCTTGTAGTTTCCAGAGCAGCTTTTCTATCCTGCTTTAATTCTTTGTGTTTTTGTGAGGCACGTCAAGTTTATTGGGCTGCTTTAGTGCTGTAAAGTTGCGCTTATCTCTGTGCGGCCCCCGCAGACGCGCTAAGTCACTCAGTTACAGTTCAGCTGCCATCAGACGCACTGAAGGGAGTTGACAGTGCAGTTTATATCATACCTTCTTAAAAAGAAGGAGCCCAAAGGGATCTTTGAGAAGAACCACTTTTCATTCCCTAAATAAAGATCTGTGATTGTGAAGCACCTCTTAAAGGTTTAAAGATCCCTCACATAATGTAAAGGTTCTATGCTAATGTAAGTGTTCTTCCTAGAAACCTTTACATTATGTGGAGGCTCTTTAAACTCACATCTTGTGCAAAAGTGGTTGTCTACCATTAAATAACGGGGTGTAAAAAAAGAGAGAGAAGAGAAGAGAGAAGAAAGAGTGAGAGGAGGAGAGAGAGTAAAAAAGAGAGAAAAGGATATATATATAGAGAGAGAGGGAAAGAGAGAGAGAAGAGAGAGGAGGAGAGAGAGAGAGTAAAAAAGAGAGAAAAGGATAGAGAGAGAGAGAGAGAGAGACAGAGAGAGAGACAGAGAGAGAGAAGGAGAGACAGTGAAGGAGAGACAGAGAGAGAGAAGGAGAGACAGAGAGAGAAAAAAGAAAAAAGAGGGACAAAAGAGAGAGAGCTCTCAACAAATCCACCATAACAGTGTATTTATCTCTATTTTGGGAAACTTTGCCTTCTTTACTCACTGTTACTTTTACAAATGGCAATAAAAAAGACCTATAAAGTTTTAATTGGTCATAAAGTAGCTGTGCTGATCATTTGGGCGTATTTAGCTTCATGTTCACCAGAGTGTCTTCCCTGGTTTGTAGAGCAGGTTAATAAATAATGATATCACAGTTGTCTTTTCCAAACTACTGTTAAAAGCTCATATTGAAGCTCTTCTGGTCCACAGTTGGTTTAAACAGCTGAAAGGTTTGAGTGCTGACATCACAATGAGGGGAGAAACTGCGTGGCTTTCCAGACGTTCTTTAAGAAAAATTAAGAAACATCTAAACAGCTTTCTGTTAAATATACTTATTGCTGGCCAATATACAGAAATGGGAAGGACTGGGCTCAATTATTAGAAACTTTCTAAATAGCTGGGTGTCCCCAAACTTTTGGTGCACTGTTTTATATCCAGTTGTTGATGCTACAGTTAATTTTTATCTTCGTCCTGCACTGATGACGGCTGGTCTGAAAGGCAGCCTGTAGCAGGGCGGGGAGGGTGTGAGCACGCAAGATTAGCTTTCACGTTAGACACGAGGTCAGAACTTTGGTGGAACAGGACTTTCTTCATGAACAACAAAAACTCCAGCAGCACTGCTGGGTCTGATCCACTCACACCAGCACAACACACACTAACACACCACCACCACGTCAGTGTTACTGCAGTGCTGAGAATGATCCACCACCCAAATAGTACTTGAAATGCGAATCTCGTTGAGGATGTTGGCCTCTGAATGACCCTGCTGACCTGTCTGCATAAACTTTTTCCTAAAAAGGGAAAAAAAGATGATAAGCAGAAATTAAAGAAAATGCCAGGGTGGGGAGGGGGTCCCAGATGTTGGAGCATGGTGGGAAAATTGTAGGGGTCCTCTGGTCTCTCTGAGTCGGGGTCGTACACAGCTCTCCAGACTTTTATGTTTAGGGCTTCAAAGAAATAAAAACGGGGGAGGAATGCAGTTCTGAAAAAATCACACATGGATAAGCTCTGTCATCAAGCGCCAAATTACAGCTGATATAATGTAATTGAGTCACTCTGTAGATCCAGGAGGGAAAAAAGGCAACAAATGAAGCATTTGAGATGTTTATCACGAGCTGTGTTATGCATGAAGGGGAGCTAAAAAACAAGTTCCTTTTACAGTTCAAAGAGGGCTTGTTTGTTTGTGATAAGTGAAAGAAGACTGCAGGGATAAGAGACGGTCTGAAAGAAGCACACCTTTATTGAAAATCTGATTTATTTGGGGGGTTATTAGACGAAGAACACTCCTAAATTGCGCTACTCCAGTACGTTCAAACTCTTACAGGCTGTTTTTCCTGGCTTTTCATGTCCATTCTGTACTGATGCACTCCAAATTATGAAATATAGGATCAATGGATCAATGAAAAGATCAGAGGGAAGAACCAGGGTGAGCAAACTGGAGCTGATAACCTCTAACCTCAACCAGCTCAGAAGTGAACATTTGTTCATTGGATTAAGTTGTGAAACTGCATTTTAACCAGAGGGTAACAGGTCAATCTTTTTCCTGGTCAGAGGTTAGCAGATCAGCGAAACCTCAAACTCTAAAAGAGCTCTTAGATCAATGAACAGAGGTAGAAAATACTTAAGTAGTTGTACTTTGTTACTATACCTAAGTATCAATTAGGAAGATTTGTATGTGTGTGCAAGAAATTTACATGCATGTGTATATATACTTTTTTTTTAATTTATATGATGCTCAAAACTGGCAATACATGCACAACACCAAGTTTGTTGAAAAGGGTTAACCAAACCAAATCCTCTTATTAGAGTAACATAAAACAGTGTTAAAATTACTTTAATGTAAACAACAACAACAACAACAATAATACTAACAGTACTACTACTACCACTACTACTACTACTACTACTACTAATAATAATAATAATAATAATAATAATAATAATAATAATCATAATAAAAATAATTAGAATGATACTAAGCATGCACTGACTCTGTTTGCATACTTGAGTATGTTTTAGTCTTGATACGTTTGACGTTCCCTCCATATTTGCACTTTTTGACTGAGACATTTTTCACACAGCCCCCACACCTTCACAGATGTTCACCTCTGATCATGAACCAGCCTTTCAGAGGAGCAATACAGGACAGGATATTACAGAGAAACTCTATCCATATAGTCACCAGGAGTCAGAACACTATGTAAACAAATCCGAGGTCCATAAACCCCTGCAGTGCTGAGATACACTCTGTAGATCTGCAGTGGAACTTCTTAGCACACCCAGCAATACCAGCATACTGAAGTTTGTTCATTCTTCTCTTTTTGGATATTTTTGATCTAAAATAAAATGCTAAAGCTCCAGAGCGAGAGAAGTGATCAACAGTGAGACAGAACAGGAGCTGAACCAGCACAACAGAATAAATTTAAACCCAACAAAATTAGGTTGAATCAATAACTGGCTCTAAGTGTAGGTATTGTGATATAAACTGAGTCTGTTCTACAGTTTCTCATTAGGTTGAATTGTTTTTTACCTATATTTTGTAAAGCTTGTTCAACCTCACAACAATTTCTGATTATTAATGCATTTGTGGGCAGAGCCTGGTTAGGAAATAAGCATAGTTGCATTAGCATTACTAATAAACAACATACTGCTAGTGCAAATCTATGAATGTTTTATGTAAGTGCATGTTCTTGAGTAAACGTCATTAGTTACAGCTCACTTCTCTTCCTGTTAGATCTACACTGGTTAAAATGACATGAAATTATTATATATATCTTCACTTCAAATCATAATATAATGCCTTGCTCTCCATCTGAAAACCAGAAACCTCTAGATTCTTCACATGGTGCATTTGTCTTGTGGTCTCAGCATCAGTATCAGTAGTTGAAGAAGTAGTAAAAGCATCAAAAGCTCCTAATACTTTTCTGTACTGTCCACTCAGTGCCCCATACTGACCAGTTATCAATGCTTGGAAGGTTCTTCAGGGCGGCGCAGCTCTAAAATGATATTTCTACTCACATGGCATGTATTTATGATAAGAACGGAATTTCGGCATTTTTAATCTTGGGTGCATTTTGTTTTTCCTGTTTAGTCTGAGCCTCTATCTCAGTTTAATTGTTCCTAAGCAGTTAGTGTGGAGATGCTGTTCCAGACAAAGGCTGTGAAAGAGTACAGTAAGACTGGAAACAGAGGACATTTAACAATGCTGATGTTTTGGCCAGTACCCTCAGGCTTTATGTGTTGGTTATAAAGCTGTTTTTCTAGGATAAAAATTTCTCTTTCTTGGTTTTATCAAGGACAATGAGTGCAGCAGCATCTAAAATGAGCATGTTTTTTGTAATAGAGAAGCACAAATAATCTGTGAACAGCAGACGCCCCATAATTCAATAACTTTAGTTTTCGTTTTCTTAACTTTTACATTCAACCTCTTGGCCTCAGACGCATCTGGCATCTGTACTAAGCTGGTCACAGTTATTAGGATTTTGTGAGTTGCATTCTGATTGGCTATCTGCACGTCTGTATCATTGCACTTCAAGATCAAGGTTGTTGTACATGAGTCTATCAAGGCCCCGCCCCCTCCAACAAGCGTGCATTCAATTCAATTCCATTCAAATTTATTTGTACAGCACTTTTTGCAGCAGATGTTTACAGAAATTCAGGGGTATACATTACTGCTAACGTTAAAAGCTAAAAGAGTCAAACAGACAGGATATTCTGCAGCAGTTTTATTGATATGGTCAGCAGAAGTTGGACTTGATGGCACTTGATTATATTATGATGATAATATTAACAATGGTATGATAGTGTAGAGCGGGAGAAATAATGCGGAGCAACAAAAATGAGCAAGCTTAAACAAAAAGCTAATATTAGTCATAATTATTAGTCATTATTAGTGGGACTTCAGCGCAACCTATTAACCTATTATTTGGTTATAGAATTGTGTAATAATGCTTTAGGTCTTCCGGTGGATCCAAAGGGGTTAAAAATCAACTGCAGCCTCAGCTGAATCTAGAATAAAAGCAGTGAGGAGCCAAAATCAGACTGTGCAGAAATTAAATCTAGAAGGTATGGATGGGCATTTTAATTATTTCTGTTTTTTACATACCTCAACAAGACCATATTTTATATGGCTATGAAAGGTGCACAGCATCTCACATAAAGCAAGACTAGGCAAGCCCACTTTTTCCAGACCACCAGGCCGCCCACTCTCTGCTCTGCATCTTTATGTAAAAATAAAGTAAAAAATGCCATTTTAAAAGCGAGGTGGACACAGTTGTCAGTTGTCAAACCCAACAGCCCACACTTGTAGGCTCAGTATTACTATTATAAAGCTTATAGCAGTGTGTGCATTTTTACAGTCAAGCCAATCTGAGAGCAGTAATATACAAACACACCCCACAGGGAAGTTTAACAGCTCACATATGGTCCAAAATTAGCCTTTCAAAGTTTTTAGCTAGACATGCAATCTGCTCCAAGAACACAAAACTGTGGTTATGCTCCAGAATAAGAATCTGACCCATCACTGCCCAGTAGTGAAAAAGTTACTAGGCTGATGAAATATTCAAGGAACGTGTTGGCAGTAATTGCACTCATTCCTAGCCTTTTGAGCGCTGGACCTCAAAAGGATGTGGACACAATTGTTCTGAGCTGTTGTACCTTAATAGGTTTAGCAAATGTGGAGTCTGGAGCAGAAATGCTGCTGTCTGGCTTCCTCCAGTAGAGAGATATATCTTTTTTCACTAATAAATTCAACGGTCGTGAAGGCTTTCTGAGGAAGCTGGGAGCACGTCCTTTACCTCCAACAGACACACCACACCTCACACACCTCCTACTGTATTGTTTAAAGTCTCCGGCCAAGTGGAAATGGGGCCCTCAGTAAGCACTTGGCAAACAGTCCTGATTATTATCAGCTCCTTGATGGAGTTTATATCCTGTGATCCAAAGAGAGAACTTCAGTGAAGAGATGGATCCTCTACTAACCCCCCACCAGACTGCAGAGAAGAGGGAAGAAAGCTTTCCTCAGAAAGCCTTCACGACCGTTGAATTTATTAGTGAAAAAAGATATATATTCTTTATGTCTCTCATCACTCTCTAGCAAATCTCAATGACCTCGTTTTTTTAAGTTCTGTTATATAAAATCAGAGACTACTCTTCATTTATTTAATCTCTAGTTACTCTAGTCTCTTTAAGTAGAAGTTATAAATTTCCAGCAATGTTCTTGAGGAGATTATATATAAGATAATCCACTTTCATAATGAAGGAGAAAGTCAAACTTCCAAAACTAGAGATCAAAAAGTGTTAAAAGCTACAAAGAAAATATGACTCCTAACAACCACCTGGAAGACCTGGTAGACACCAAAACTGCCCCCATCAGATAAACAGCACTTAAATCTTTCATCTTTGAAAGAGAGGAGAAAATCAAGCTGCTTCAGATCTGAAAACATCCACAGGTGTTTCTATCCATCCATCCACTGTGAGAAGACGACTCAGCACTAGGGGCTGTCAAGAAGCCTCACTGAAAAAAGGAGACGGACACAAAGGAAGAATATTTGTGTCAAAACTGGAAATATGAGATGTGGAGTTGGATGGTGAAAAGCAGAAAATGTTAGACCAACTTCTAAGACTGAACTGTGGAGGTGTGTCTTCAGATTTCTTTGAGAAACTAAAAGTGAGTCTCCTGAGAAGAATAAAAGCTGGAATAAAGTGAAAGAGTGACACACTGAACCCTCAAACATCTTAGATTATATTTGGTCTTATATGTATTCTATGTTTCCTTTTTTGAATGCTGAAAAATTAATAAAATGTACTTGTTGGCCATTTTGACCAAAAAATAAATAAATAATAAGTATCTATATTAGGTTTAGAGGAAATTTATGATAAATGTGATATATATTTATTTCAGTTAAAGCCAAGGTGAACATCTGTGAAGCATCTACAGTGGACCGTTATAATTGTGTTACCACCACAGAAAACACAATGATGTTGATGTGGTTCAGTTCTGTTTGGAAGGTCTGTATAATTGTAGTCCTGAACTGTGCCTGAAGTAGTGGACTGGCCACTAAGGCTAAAGGTCATTAACCATGACTGATCACAAACAAGGTGCTCTTTCAGCATTATTAGGGTCATGTGGAGTGAATAAGACAGTGATCTGGAGCAGACATATCATGCAGGTTAACCTGGGGTGTTTTTCACGCGTCACATTCACAAACTAATTGAATAACTTCCTTCTGTAATAGGTCTAAACGAGTAAATATCGATTCTTCACTTAGCAAGAGCAGAAGTCTGACGAAAGCCCTCTAATCTTCTCTCTGTCTGTGCTTTAAGTGTTTCAGGATGTCCATGTGATGATCTTCATTGGCTTCGGTTTCCTCATGACCTTCTTGAAAAGATACGGGTTCAGCAGTGTGGGCATCAACCTGCTGTTGGCTGCCTTCGGCCTGCAGTGGGGTTTATTACTGCAGAACATCTGGCACCTGGAGGGTGGGAAGATCAAGATTTCCGTTGAAAAGTAAATGGATGTCTATATCTAGCTATCTATGGATCTATGGATCTATCTATCTATCTATCTATCTATCTATCTATCTATCTATCTATCTGAAACCTCTCCTCCTTCCAATCTAATACCCTATAAATTCTAATTCTTAACTTCTGTTTTCCATAACAAAGTTTTCATAGTCCCCACTGCCACCCCATCTCCTGCTGCGTCAGTCCTACCACAGTTGAAAGGGGGTGTCCAGCCTTCTATCTCCAAGCAGAACCACCCAGAACTCCAGCTCATGTTCTCAGAGTTCTCTCCCCTCCATCGTTCAATCTCCCCTCATACTACCACTATATGTTGAAGGCATGTCTGAACACTCAAATAGTTAGATATAGTATAATATTACCCCCTGGAGGACATCTACCAGAAACTAAGAGGAGTTTCTGACCAGAATCAGAATCAGGCTTTATTAGCCAAATGTATTTGCACATGCAATGAAATCTTTACACAGTAGCGCACAGTGCACTGTAGCTGAAATCTAAAGTACAAAGTACAGCAACCAAGTGAGAGCAAAGCTGAATAAAACAGAAAAAAGTATAAAAGAGAATGAAAAAAAAGGCTGAGCACTGAAACAGCCTGAAGTTGTACAGAAATAGTAATAATATGGACACAGAGACAGTATAGGACCATTAATGTTACTGGAGTCATTCAGACCAGTGACATTATAATGTTACTACCTGGAGAGATGCAGGCATAAGAGCTGATCTTCAAACTGAAATGGCTCGGATGTTGTTTTCTCTCTTTACAGAATGATTAACGCAGACTTCAGCACAGCCACGGTGCTGATCTCGTTTGGCGCTGTGTTAGGCAAGACCAGTCCAGTGCAGCTGCTCATCATGACCCTGCTGGAGATCACCACCTTCTGCATCAACGAGCACGTGGCTGTCGGTATTCTGGAAGTGCGTTAGTGTGACTAATTCATTCATTCATTCATTCATTCAGTCCCCACCAAATCTCCTAAAGACAAATGCCAACAATACGTTTAAAAAAAATCTAGAATTAGTCATATTTCAAAAGTTGAGATGCCACCTCAAAGCAGATAACTTGAAAGTATGGTTAATGTGAACAACTAATCAAAGCATACTTTTCTAATTTTATTTGCAAGAATTCTTGTAATATTGAATAAAACATCAAACAAAATATCCTTTGGTTAAACATGATTTTTAAATTCAAGTTTATATTGTATAGAAACTAACACAAACTGTTAATGTGACAAGCAATTCCAAACTTGCTCAGTAGTGGCAGTGAAGTAGATCTCAATGCAAATCTCAAAGCTCTTGGCCAATGAAACATTTAATAATATAAATAATTGCATATACACTATGAGTTTTTCATAAAAATAAGTAACGTTTCTAGGTCACTGTACTGGTACCACCACCATTCTTCATTCTTCTGTTGAAGCGTTCATTTCTGGTTCTGGTTCTGGTTATACATCATTTTTAGGCTTCAAATTACCCAGCAATACAGTGATGTAATATACTGCTAGAAAACTTGAAATCTCAGGATTCACAACTGCAGATCATTTTATGATATGTTATTCTTGGCAGTTACAATCAGAGGTGGGTAGAGCGGCCTAAATCAATACTCAAGTAAAAGTACTGATACCCGGGTAAAATAAGGGCATGAGTAAAAGTAAATGTATTTTCAAATAAAACAACTTGAGTAAAAGTACAAAAATATCAAGTCAAAAAACTACTTAAGTGCTGTGTAACTTATAGAGCGGCAGGGGAACTTCTTAGTCCATCCAGCATTTACCAGCATCACATTGTGTGTTTGATACATTGAGGTTTATCAATGACAATAATACAGGAATATTCTTTTGTATTCAGGCCTCTGATGTTGGGGCTTCCATGACCATCCATGCGTTCGGAGCGTACTTTGGGCTCGCCGTGGCTCGTGTTCTTTATCGCCCTGGCCTCCGGAACGGCCACGACAATGAAGGCTCCGTCTACCACTCCGATCTGTTTGCAATGATTGGTATGTCCACCACCTCCACATTATATCATATGGTTATGTAATGACAACTAAAGGTAAAGAAAGTTATGTCACAAAAGAAAATGCGAATGAATGTTATTTCCATCAACTATGGGTTGTAATGTACAAGAGTCTCAGGAGTCTCACTGTGTGTGGCAAATATGGTGGAGGGATTTGAACTATTTTTCAGTAAAGCAGTTTTGACGGTCCTCTGTAAACTATGCATGGATGAAGTCCTAAGAGTTCAGAAACGCTGAACAGAGTGCCATTTAATGAGGGCGGAAGTCAATGGAAACTACCCTGTCCAAAAACGATGGATGAAAAACTCCAAGTTCTTGCAGTGTTTTTGTGTGCTTGTTAGAAGAATTCTGCTCAGTGCAGTCACAACATGGTTTTGTTCAATTCCTCTAGCAGCACACTAGATTTACCTTAAAGAAGAATGGATTAAACCAAGTTAACTAAATGAAGCGTTGATTATACTGATTTAAATTAATGAAGCATTGATTAAACTGAATTTACTTAATGGAGGATTGATTAAACTGGTTTAACTTAATGAAGAATTGATTAAATTTATTTAACTTAATGAAGGTTTGATTAAACTCATTTAAGTTAATGAAGAATTGATTAAACTAATTAATGCTAATAAAGAATTAATTAAACTGAGTTAACAAAATGAAGGATTGATTAAACTGATTTAAATAAATGAAAAGTTGATTAAACTGACTTAACTTAAGAATTGAGTCATTTAACTTTATTAAGAGTTGATTAAACTGATACAAATTAATTAAGGATCGATTAAACTGATTTAACTTAATAAACTTAAATAAGCTTCATCAGAACATCTTTATTATCTTCGGTAATCCAACTTGAACCAGATTATATAATCGTGCGTGTGTAGTGAACATGAAAATATGTTTCTAGCTTTCATCATTGAGATCCAGAGAGAGCGGCAGTGGATGGATCTGATGAAGTGTGAAGTGTCAATCTGACGTTGTACACTGTAAAAGAGAAATGGGCCAGAAGTTGATTTGAAATGTTTTAAAGGTTTGAGGAGATGCAAGATATTTATTACAAGCCTCCACCTGGGTTCCTGAGTGACATAACTGTCTGAGCGTTGACTCTACTGTCAGGAGACTTTCTTAGCTGATGTAACAGCATAAACAGTTAGTTTTCTCCTCCAAGCCTGTTGAGCTGTCCACTGACGCTGCGTTAGCGCCAGCCTGGAGCTTCACGTGTCTTGGAGGAAGCTCGTGCTGGTCTTCACTCACCGGGCTTAGCATCATCGAGTGATAGAGGGAGACCCTGCTAGCAGGTGGATCCTCCATCTGACTGTGTTTTCTATGTACCTGTAGGTACTGTGTACCTGTGGATGTTTTGGCCCAGCTTTAACTCCGCTATTGCTAAGCCTGGAACTCCACAGCTCATGGCTATCACCAACACCTACTTCTCTCTGGCTGCGTGTGCACTGGCAGCCTATGCAACCTCTAGCCTGGTGGAACATAAGGGCAAACTGGACATGGTGAGAGAAAAGAGACTGAATGAACTTATATTCCAGACTGACAGATAATCACATATCGTGAACTGTAATGCAAAAAGGAAACATAAAAAATGGCATGCAATAAATACTGCATTAAAATTGAGACCGTTTCTTATTTTTCTGTAGAAGTTGGGAAAATTACATCTAATTGTATGTCTAAAATATATCAGACATCTCCAGTCTATCTACATGGGTTGCCGTGGCAACGACATAGGTGTCCGTAGCTATGCTGGTGACATGGATTTTAAACACAGATGCATGAGAGATGGATGGGCATCAGAGAACTGGTAGAGAGGAGAATTACCACTCTGTAATGTCTTCCGGGTTTCTTAGACTTACTCCCACTTACTCCCAAGTGAGTCCAAAATGGAGAGGTTAAGATGGAGCATTTAAGCAAAATCATAGTTTATAAATGCTTAAACATTTTTAAGATAAAAGAATACATTAATTTCCTGAACACTGAATAGCATAAAACATTTGAACATCGCTGTTATATTTTTAAGAACTTTTAAACTAAAGTTATAGGAGTTTAAAACGAGGCCCCATGTACGTCCATGACGTCAGTGAGCACGAACAGCCAATGAGCTGCCAACCAATCAGCACTCAGTAGCACTAATGTTAGAAATACATTCTTCTACTTTCTAAAATTAAGGAAAGTTCTGAGTGAATGATTAGAAACTATTTTAACCTTTCGTTTTTTGCCGTTTAGCTCCATTCACCCCCATTCATTGAGGACTCGCTCGCGGGCGCCCTCTGGCGTTTAGCGGCCCTGTTTTTGATATAACGGGTGAAATAGGAAGCGGGGCTCCTCATAAACCGACTCTGGGTGTATCATCTCTCCTTCAAACTCTTCAAAATTCTCTTTTCCGTCATGCTGGATTTGACATCTGTGCTGTTTGTCATGTTGTGAGTGACGCAAAAGACACTTTAAATATGATTTGAGCGGCTACATTTCAAACCACCTCCAAATGTGGTTTGGATCCAATTTGCAAAAGTTTCATGTGTATTTTTTTGCTGTCCATATTATCAAGAAGCAATCTGGATACAATCTGGATGTGCCAAAAATCAGATTTGGGCTGGCAGCCTGAACATAACCGTTTTATAAAAAGGATAGTTCTCGTTCTAAAATCTGGTCCAATTTATATTTGGCCATTATGTTGTTAAACAACGTTCAACAAACAAGCCTACATTGCTCGATATAAGATTTGTTTAGTGTGATTATTATTAATACACTGATTTATTTTAGCATCTTTTATAGAGCATGTATTATAGCAATGCATGGACAGTTTTACGGCTTTATTATTGAAAATTACCCATTGTATTGCAGGTGCACATTCAGAATGCTACGCTGGCCGGTGGAGTTGCTGTTGGAACATGCGCTGATATGAACATTGGCCCTTTCGGTGCCATGGTGATCGGAGTCACCGCCGGAGTCATCTCCACTCTTGGCTTCAAATTCCTTTCCGTACGCACATCTACACTACACAAACACACGCACTGTACTGTATAAAGGTCTTAGAGCAAGAAAGGCTAAGAAAACTGTTTTAAACTTTTTTCATATGTTTTAAATTTATCTAGCTGTATGTTTTTTTTTATGTTTGTGAAATTGAACTTTAGAACAGGTATTAATAATATTAATACAGTCAAAACAAAATACAAATAAAAGATACAGTCAGTAAAGTTCTTGTTGTGTTGTGAGCTGCACAGGTTTGGTTCTTCATCTATCCTCTATGCAGCTCCAGCTACTACATGAATTTGTTCAATTCCTCGAGCAGTACACATGATTTAACTCAATGAAGGGTTGATTAAACTCATTCAGTGTGCTGAAGGACTGATTTAACTGATTTAGCTTACTGAAGACTTGATTAATCTGAATTAGCTTTCTGAAGGATTGATTAAATCAATTTAGCTTAATGAAGCAGTGATTAAATTGATTTAGCTTATTCAAGGATTGATTTAACTGATTTAGCTTAATGAAAGATCAATTCAACTGATGTAGCCTACTGAGGGATTGATTAAACCGATTTAGCTTACCTAAAAGATTGATGGAACTAATTTAGCTTTCTGGAGGATTAATTAAACTGTTTAGCTTAATGAAGGATTCATTAAACTGATTTAGTTTAATGAAGGATTGATTAAATTGATTTAGCTTAACAAAGGATTGATTAAACTGATTTAGCTTAATGAAGGATTGATTAAACTGATTTAGCTTAATGAAGGATTCATTAAACTTATTTAGCTTAATGAAGGATTCATTAAACTTATTTCACTTATTGAGGGCTTGATCATATTGATTTAGCTTAATAATTTTTTTTACTGCTCATGGGTTCTTGTTATAGTGGAGGCTCTCGAGGGGAACTGGAGCTCCACCAAGCTGCTTTTGTTAGTTTGCTGCTGGTTGATTTGTCCCCAGTTCTCCCACGAGCACTGTCCAGTGTAGTCTGCTGAAGACACCTTCCAGTGCAAACAACACTGGTATTACTGATATTGCTGCATCAGTGGAACCATTGCCCATGGTGCACTGTGGCAAAACCAGGTTAATTAATCAGACAGCATATTCATCTATATCTACCTTCTTCTTTCCCTGTGTTCTCTGTAGCCCATTCTTGCATCCAACCTGGGCATTCAGGACACCTGCGGAGTTCATAACCTGCACGGCATGCCTGGCATTCTGGGCGGTTTGGCTGGCATTTTGGCTGCACTACTGGGGAGGAAAGAAGGGTAAGACCAGAACAGCAGCACATAAAGGGAAATTGATCAGTGCTGGAAAGAAGGTTGAACTGAAATAAACACACTTGTAGAGGGATCCGGGATATGAACATCTCACCTCGGGGTTAATTATTACAGTTACATCTTGATACACTTTAAGGTCAGACACAGCAGGTGATTTTTTTTAAAACAATAAAAATCACAAAGAATCTTCACCCACTGATTACTGACATTCTTGCCAAAAATAAAAACACTGAGGGGAAACAGTTTTAAGAATGAGTCTCAGAACTGCATTGTGTAGTGCGGTCTCAGGAAACATGCATTATTTCTGTCATAAAATAAAAGGAAATAGACATATATGGATATAACATAACTCGGTTGTGAGCAAGGCTAAGCTTCATTATAGTTGTCAAATTTTGAAAATACAGTTAGACACAAGTGGACATGAATTGACTAAAGTTTTTTACAGTTTAAGAGAAGACTCTTGCAAAAATCATTTCTGCCTGTAGTGTTTTAATTTTTGACTCAAATTTGAGCAAAAAGAAAATCCATATTATACATAATCCTGTATTGTTTACAGCTGCAAAGCACAGTTTAAATAATTTTTATATAAAAATATAGCATACTTAATGTGTAATAAGCTCAGTGAAGCAGGTGCATTGCTCAGATACACTCCTTCACTCATTTGTGATCGTGCGTTAACTGTTAAAAGTCTAAAACTTGTAGCTTAAAAACTAAGACAGCTGTGCAAGCTGTTTCCTTCCCTCTGTCGGCTGTAATGTGGACGAGGGACCCGCGGACCACATTTATCTGCAGCTAATCAGCTGCCTAAAACACACATTGATCTAAAACATATGACTGCATGTTACTGATTCTGGCCAAATCAGATTATTTTAAACAACATTAAAAAAGCATTTGATGCAAATGTATCCAAAATTAAGGCAATTGCAACACTTAGCATGTATGCTTGGATCCAAACAGCTGTATGGTTCAAGTTGGTGCCAAGTGTGTAATAAAACTTTGGGCCCTGGCCATTATGGGGTTAAGACATCTCTCTGCACAATGCTAGCCACTTTTATCATGATATATGTTTGTAAATATATGTAAATAAACAGTTTATGAAGGCTTCCCTGCTGAAAAAACAGCACAGACCAAAAAGCATTTCATGATTCTGATATATGCTGGTGTATTGCTGGTCTGGTTCTGGTTTAGCTGGTCACACCAGCATGGTCATGCTGGTTGACCAGCATACCAGCATCCAAAAACAACATATGTTGGTTTTGGTGGTGATCAGCGTATTACCTTCCTTTGTTGTTGAATAGCACACCAGCATCCAAAATACAACATATGCTGGCTTTTCTAGCAGGGCTACCAAGTGTTAGTCACAAGATTCACAACAACCATTACTCCATCACTTTCATCACCATTAGATGATGATGAAAACACAGTGACGTGGGATACTACTGTGGGATACAGGGTAGTTTCAAATATGACACACTTCATCACAGAATCTGATTATCAGAAGAAGAAAACAAGAAACATATCTTGCTTTAGCATCTTAAGCATGCTGGCCTAACACCAAAACAAATATAGACTACTTGTATAATTCTATATTTAAGTCTATAATCTATAATTATCTCTTACAAAGACTACTGGAGTAGACTTAGTCCAGCATTTTTTTTATCTAATCTATTTACACCTGATAAAGAGTGATTATTTTAACAGGATGTAAATGTAATATAATAGTGTGAAAAACCTTTAAAAGTTTAAATAACCTCTTTAACACAAATGAACTTTGCACATAATTTGCGCCAGTAAAAGTGTTTTGCCAGAATTGCACATTTCTCTCTGAGATTATTTCTTGTGTCTGTATGGTATAAGTCTGTATGATATTTCATTGTATGTTGATATTTTATTTTCCTTTTAGAGCGACTCCTGGTATTCAGGCTGCAGCTTTGGCCTCATCTCTTGGTTTTGCCCTGGTTGGGGGAGCAATCACAGGTAAGTGATTTATATAAATATATATTTATACATTGTACTTCCACTCATTGGTCACTTTATTAGAAACACCTACCTTGTTCTTCCACTCACTGGCTACTTTATTAGAAACACCTACCGCGCACTTCCACTCACTGTCCACTTTATTAGAAACACCTACCTTTTACTTCCACTAACTGTCCACTTTATTAGAAACGCCTACCTTATAGCTGCACAATTCATCAGCCCTCTCTACCCCATTCATCACTGGTCAGTTTCTGACCACAGGGTCGATGTCGTCCAGATGTTATGTGGGTGGTGATCCATTCTCAGTACAGCAGTGACACTGACATGGTAGTTACAAGCAGCAGTTTGTGTGTTTTGTCTCTGAATAATCAGAGTGCTTTGATGTTTTATCAGGTCTCATAATGAAGCTTCCAATCTGGGGGCAGCCACCAGACCAGAAATGCTTTGACGACTCCATCTACTGGGAGGTGAGCTGGATTGCAGCCAGAACACTTGATTTTTTTTTTTGTTGATATCATGGACTGTAGAATTTCTGAATGGTAGGGTCAGGCATCAGCAGCTGTAGCCTACTCTGATAACAAGACCAGGCACACTGTGTTCATTTTGCTCCTGGTGGAGTTTGCTATTCACTGCTTGCAGTCAGTGTTCTGACTGGTTCAGTTAAAATTGTGAAATGCTCCATTCTAGGAAAACACACCAACTCAGACTTCTTTACAGTGTTATTGATAGGAACCAGACGGCTGAAGCAGTAAATGCCTCTAAAGGCTCCCTCACAGAAAGTTATTACATGAAATGGCTATGAATACACCGCCTGATGTCTGAGACATTGCTTTACAGTAGTTTTGAGATAAGACTCTGGCATAAACTGTATTTTTTAAAATCTGTTCATGGTAGAGAGTTACATGCAGGGAGTTGTTAGGCAAAATAGTCCCCAGAGAAAAAATATTACTTCAGATTTTCAGATTTTATCTCTCTAGTCTCTATCATTTTAGTCAAACCACTCTGATGTTAAATAGGTGATGTTTCACATTCATACCAATTCATAACAATAATATACATGTGAGACAATTTGGATTTTACCGTGATAGATGAGTGAAAGTTCTTTGGGCCATTTTAACTCAAAAAGGGTTTAGACCAGGACTGGAAAAAAAACAGTTCACTTGAATTGGAAAGGATGCAGGAATTTGCTTCTTATAGAGGTTACTTTCACTCCGCGCTGAATATTCACGGTCCCCAGAAAACTGAGCCAGCAGAAAACCAGAGGGTGAGCTGTGGTGTCTTCATTCTGAAAAAAATGGAGGAACAGCTTCTCAGGCAACATAATGTCACAGTTGCAGAAACAAAAACACAAACTAGTTAACTAGCTAATGTGAAACTATAACAATAGACTATACGTTCACTCCAAAACAACATAAAATCAGGATGGACTTTTACTCCACTCTGCCGAGGAAAACAGAGCGGCAACGGTCTGGCTTAAACAGTGTTGCCAGATTGGGTGGGTTCCCACCAAATTGGGCTGATTTTAGATTGGATTTGGCGGGAGAAAAAGTGAAAAATTGTGCTGGTTTGTCATTATTTTGGCAGGTTTTTAAACTGCATTACTTAGTAATATAGCTGCAATTAGAATAGACCTAACTTCTCCCCACATCCAATCAGATTGACATACAGCTTAGTCACTCCTGTTGAGAGGAGGCTGCTGCTCCGCCCACCTGTATCGCCCACAATCCACATCAGTGGTTAACGTACCCAGTTTCACTCTGCATTACTGACTGTGCAAAGTTCTGCAATGGCAGAAAACTGGAGTGGCCTCTGATCTGTTCAGCAGAGCCTTTAAAGGTGAACAAATATTAAAATGTGCATGAGGAATAGTGATGCTTGCAATATTATTGCTATTCATTTGTCTTTCTGATTGTATGGGATAATGAGTCCTAGCATAACAAAATTTAAAAAATGTTAATGCTCTGAAAACAATAAGTTTGTACAAAATCTGCAAGTTATGAAAAGAAGATGCACATATGAATAAAATAATGTAATTATTTAATTGAAATTATTTATAGTTAGGGTAAAGTATAGTTATTATTTACAGAGGGTATACAGCCCTCTGGTCACAGCGTAAATACTTGTCTGCAAACCTTTGAAAGCGAGACGTCAGCAAATAACGTACTCTGAAGCTGTTTCGTTAAATGATGCATTAATTCCTATATTGGTTAAAATGACCTTAGGCTGTTTCGGTTGTGTAATTTTTGGGTGGTTTTTAATGCATTTCTGCAGGTTTTGAACATTGCTTTCTGGCAACCCGGGGCTGAACAAAAGTGAATGAACTCTATGGTGAATGTTCATCTTGGTTTCTGCATTTGTTCTGCAGGTTCCTGAGGAGGAAGAGGAGGCCGGGGAGAGTCTGGCTCAGGCTGATCATTCAAATAACAAAGCAGAGGCCTAAAGCTCTTTACAGCTTACTCACAGCAACAAAACCACAACCCATAACCGACTCAGGGTACTCAACCACCAGAACATCACTTCAGGAGCAGCTCCAGCCAATCATGCCCACCCCATTATTTCACTGCTTACTTTGCTAAAAGCCTTTTTTATTGTCCACTTGCTTTAGTTTGTGGATGCTTTTAATTATTTTTCAGCTGGGAATGTAAAAAACTAGCGTGTAGCTGGCTAAACCTATAGCTAAATACTAGCTAAACACATGTAGCTCAACCAAACTAGCCAAGTCCAATAAGCTAAAATGTACTAGCTTAATCCAACTAGCTAAATTTAGCTAACTACTAGCTAAACCATGTGGCTTAACCAAACTAGCCAAGTCCAATAAGCTAAAATGTACTACCTTAATCCAACTAACTAAACTTAGCTAACTACTAGCTTAACCATGTAACTAGCTAAGTCCAACAAGCTAAAACTTACTAGCTTAAGCCAACTAGCTAAACTTGGCTAACTACTAGCTAAGCCCAACCACATTAGCAAACTATTAACCCAACCATTTGCTGTTTCATTTGGAACAGACTTTAGATCGGCTTCCGAGCCAGAGGAAAAAAAGACTGTGTCAAAGAAAAGCAGATCTCTAACCCCCCAGGGGAAAAGAGGAGGTGTAAAGAGAAGGTGATGAATGAGAAAAGTGAGATTTCTTTCTACACTGATAGACTGCTGAAAGAGTTCTGAGACATAGAATAAAGCTAAATGAGAAAACAAGGAGATCTTACACTCTTCTTATTGAGATATTATTCAGCTCGGACTGGACTGAGATGAGTCGGACACTAAAAAGAAAAAGGTATTAACCACGTCTAGGAGAAGTACATGAGATTAAGAGGAGATCTCATTTAGAATATTTCTTCCTCTGGGAAATAATCCTGTTGAAAAAGGCTAAGCTGGTTTTAAATGTTTTCATTTGGTCTTTGATAGTCAAAGTGGTTGCCCTGCTGGTCAAACTGGTCATGCTGGTAGACTAGCTAACGAGCTTGAGCTAGCCAGGCTGTTTTTGTCAGCTGGGTGTTCAGTCTATTCCATATTACAGATGAGGATAAAGTCAAAATCCAAAATTTAAAATCCAAAAGATATGTAGAAAAAAAATCTACATCATTACCTTTGTATAAGGAAAGGTAAATGATTTAGCAACACTAAAATTGCCCACTCTGGGTCCAGTCTGAGAGGCCTATAGCTGACTGTCTCAGACCGGTTGAGCTGTTTGTTTTAGAAATGTAGCTACCAATTTATTCAAACCAATAAAATGCAATTCCTCAGTGGATAACTGTAGACTATGACAGTTGGTCACTAATTCTTGCTGAGGTTCTGAGCCGTAGCCTGAGGATTAGGGTGGTCACCCATTTTCCTCAGTTGTGCTTTGCAGTTTCCACTTTGGCTTTGCATTATATTGTAAGACCAAATAATCGAAAATAAAAAAGAAAGATGAAAATGAGATTCCTCGCTGTTACAGTTGATGTGCAGATAGTACTTATAATTGTGGCTGACCACAATATTCAAACATGTAATGTATTACATTAAAATATATTCTAAGTAGCTCACAATTTTATTTCCATGTTGATATTTCAAACAATCTCCCTACTAATCCACATTGCAGTCTGGTTCACATGTTGCTGGACAAGAAACTGGCTCCTTAAGTCCAACTGCAAGTTTTAATCTTCCTTTATTCTTAATTCCCTTAAGCTCTTGTATAGTTAAAATGAAAGTTTGGCAGAAAAAAAACAAATATACAGTTTCTCCTGTACCTCAAATGTAGTTAATTAGCCAAGACATGATTGGAAATGATTGGTCTAAAGTTTTTTTTAGCTTTGCACTGGAGCTACGAGGCTAAAGTAGCTAACAACATAACGGACGTTTATTCACCTGTTATCATTGTGTGTGTCTAAATAATCACAGACTTGCCTCTAACCATGTTGAGTTGTTAGGTAACCTTAAAAAACACATAAGAAAGTCTATTAGAGATTACTTAACAGCTCAACACGATTTGAGGCAAGCGTGTGATGATTTAGACATCCAGTTAGCATGATGCTAATGCTAAAGTGCACTGTAAGCTTCCACGAGAAGAGATGGGAACACATAAATAATGAGCCTTTCATTACAGAACCCCCTTCAGGCTAAAAGACAGAACTGAAGCGCTACACGCAGTAAATGTGGTGTTTAAAGGGATAATCTACAGACCAACAAGTTATTCTGGCATTTTCCTTTAAACATCATAATTACTACATGTAACACTCCATTTTTGTGCTTCAGACTGTTTTTTTCTATAATAAAAGTCCCCTTGCTTAAAGCCATATTGAACCTGACAGGTTTTTGGAGTTTACTTTTGCTTAATGTGAAAAATAAACTTCATGCCTGTAGCTATGTATAATAAATTTGCTACTACAGACTTATGTATGTCTCTGCTTCTTAGCTACATTAGCCTTTAGCTCCAGTGCTAAAACTAAAGCAAACTTCAGACCCCCAATACGTCTAGGCTGATCGACTGAAGTTGGTGTAAAGGGAGAAACTGTGTATACATATTTAATTTTACTATTTTTTTATTTTTTTCAAAACTATCTCTGACACAGTCAGTCCCTCTTTTTCTTGCTGCTGTTCAGATGTGAGGAGATTTAGAGGATTTTAAAAGGAAAATCAAATGAAGAACAGCACAGTCTGGTGAGAAAGAGAGAAACGACTGATTCAGTATGATGCATATGTTAGAATGAATGTACGTTTGTATGTTTGAGTGTTTTTGTATCACATGCTTCAGCCACCAGTGTAGTTAGGAAGATGTAGACCGCTTAGCAGAACCACGAGTATTACAAAAATGATAAAAATGTAATGAATATACATACTGTCATAAATAAATATGTTTTTATACAATATTTTCTTTTCTGGATTACTGAGGGAATCTTTTTGCTGTTTTCATTACTCTGAGCGGCCTCGTATGGCCGAAGCTCTATACACAACACATTCTCCATCAATGTAAAGAACCATTTCACCATTTAACCATGCAAATGGGTCTTTGAGTGTTCATAGTTCTACATAGAACCATTAGTTTTACTACCCTTGAAGAACCATCTTTTTAAGAGTGTAGGGGTGGTGAAACATGAAATTACTGGTTAATGTTATTTTGCTCTGCCCAGTGGTGCACTGCAATTCCACTTTTCTGCCACCAGGTGCCACTATTTAGCAGCAGCGAGCTCATCGCTCCCTCCCTGTTTACAGCATGCAGTTATAACTGGATTTTTACACATTTGATTTATCTGATATATCTGACATATCAAACAAAACTGCGAATTGTTCTCCAGGGGAAGACGACAACACAACTTTAACACAGTTTAATACAACTACTAAGTAAACTTTAACTGAAAAATAGTAAAAGACAGGATCTTTTGGCATTATTGTAATCTCACAGGCAAAGTAAATACATTTAAATATTTGTTTCACATGTCAGGTTTGTAATATATATTGATATATATATGTAAATATTTACAATTTGACATTTGTATATATTTCATCTATGTGTGCAATTTGATATTTCGACAGGTGCATTTGTTGGCATATATTTAAATATTTAAAAACGGCTCATTTAAATACATTTAGCACATATATTTGAAAACATCAGTTACATTGCACTCTGCTGAAAAAACCTCAGAAGCCATTAAGTGTTTCTGTTGGTTCCTGATAGTTTTGTAATGTGTTTGGCTTTTATAATGGGTTATCAGAAGCACCACAGAGCAGGTATTATTTGGGTGGTGGATCATTCTCAGCACTGTAGTCATGGAAAAAATGGCTCCTAATTCAAAAATAAAACATCACCTAATACAAAACAGAAAACAAACACCAAGAATGGCAGAGAAAGTGTACAATTATTATATATTTTATTAAAGATCAAGGCTTCACAAATGAAAGCGTTAACCTGAGTTGCCCAAGGCTGCATCTAAAAAAGAATATAGGAAAAATCAAGCCTTTTTTATACTGCTCTGGAGGGGGTCTCCACCCCCACTACCTCATCTCACCTGATCTGTCTTACAGTCACAACCAGCTCTGAAACACTTCACTGAGCTCTATTATAACTGTAACAATTTTGTACCTTTTACATACACATTGTTTCTTCAGTCAGTCTCGGCCTTCTGCGACAAACACTTCTGTTTTTCTTCTAAAACTGCCACGTCATCCTTCATCAGCCATTTCAGTTCCATTTATTCATATACCATTACATAAAGTTATAATCATCATTACTTTTGATTACTATTATCGATAAGTTAAAACACACCTGGCTATGCTCTCGATTACATTATAACACATCAATTAACATCCCTCTTTTCTATTGTTCATTGATCAAGAGGTTACAAAATAAGTTAGAACCTATTGATTATCCTTTAATTGTGACTAAACAGGTTATTACTAATTGTGACTGAATAAGGAAGTATTAAAAATATATATTTTATGTTTTGTACATGAAATAGTTTGGACCATAAATTTATTTTTTACTTATGTCTGTGTGTGTGTGTGTGTGTGTGTGTGTGTGTGTGTGTGTGTCCATTAATGTGGTTACAATTGATGTGTTTCTCCTCCTAAAGACATTCTTAATAGTATGTAGTACAAACAGGATCTCCTTGTGCGTGTGTCTCTCCAGGTCCCAGTCGTTGACACAATCAGGCCTGCTTGGTACACACCACAAAGTCAGGGTCACCCAAACACACACACACACACACACACACACACACATATACACACACACACACGCACACAGGGAGAGCTATTCAGAGTGAGCCATATAGCACAATATGATTAGTTATGATTAAAATTATTACAATTGTTGCTTGAAAAATCTTTCACTTAAAAATCTTTCACATTATCAAAAAATCTCCCTCAGTGTTGTGTTGGTGTATGACTGGATCAGACACAGCAGAGCTGCTGGCGTTTTTAAACAGCGTCTTGTGACCACTGATGAAGGACTAGAGGATGACCAACACAAACTGTGCAGCAGCAGATGACCTATCTTCTCTGACTTCACATCTACAAGGTGGACCAACAGGGTAGGAGTGTCTAATGGAGTGGACAGTGAGTGGACACTGATTAAAAACTCCAGCAGCACTGCTGTGTCTCATCCACTCACACCAGCACAGCACACACTAACACACCACCACCACGTCAGTGTCACTGCAGTGCTGAGAATGACCCGCCACCCAAATATTGGAGTTGATAAAACAGACAATGAGTGTAGATACAAGGAGGTGGTTTTAATGTTATGGTTGGTGTGTAAAGTTTTTATATGAGCAAAAATATACATATATTACAACCAACAACCATTTACCAGCGTTTTAGACACTTTTGTTGTGTATTTGTACACTTTAGTTGTTATTTATTTTTGCTGTTTACTGAAAAACAACCAAGCAATTTATTTACAATGCGGCCTGTAACAACGGTTGCTAAAGTAGGCTTGGTGAGTAACGTTTTAGGGGCGGGGCTTCAGATCCGCTCCAGCCGGCAGGGGGCGCTGAGAGCGTCAGCAGGAGGAGAACAGTCAGAGCGTAGAGGAGCGCGATGGAGCGGTTCTATGTGTTTCTGTTGAGTTGAAGTTCGTCAAACTACGTGTTTATATAAAATAATACGAGTTTTATCAGAAATTACAGCAATAATGGAGACAGCAGCAGCTTTATAGAGAAGTTTACAGCCTGCAGTGTTTGATCCAGAGCGCCTCTTCACTATGGTAAAGTAGAAACGATGATCTTCAGCGAACGACGGTGCAGCTTCTTATTACAGTTTAAAGGGGAACTCCACCGCCTTTTATCAGAATCTCTGCATGATTCAGTGATTGAGACGTAAACAGAGTGATTCAGAGTGGTTTGGTGTGAAATGGTTGATTGTAGAGACTTATATTTTTTTTACAGAGGTGGTTGATAGGAACCAGGGGTCGCCATGTCTACAACACAAATATAGCCACTTTATTTACTATACAAAACCACCAGCGAACCTACACGAGTTTTATATGGAATGTTGATGATTGTGAAATAGTGAAAAATCATAAATAATAAGATTACTTTGGGGACTATTTTGCCTCACAACGTATTTCTTCACCATGATTGGATTAAAATGCATCAGGCAGTGATTTTCATAACCATTTCATGTAGTAACTTTCTGTGAGGGAGCTTTTAGAGGTGGCTGTCTGGTTCCTATCACCACCACTGTGAACAATTCTGACTCTGTTTCTCTAGAACAGAGCATTTCACACCAAACCACTCTGAATGACTTTGTTTACATCTTAACCGTTTAATTATGCAGAAATTGCAGAAAAATTGGTAAAGATCCCCTTTGTCATTGGCGTTATCACAGAGCTATCAAACAAAACCCAGCACAACTTTATTTTTACAATTTAATTCTGAATCTGAATCCCAAACTGCTCTCCATTTAGTGCACTGCATTCTGTAGGTCATGAAAATAACTGTTTATGCACTTTCATAACTAAAAGCAATTGAAAGCCAAATCATGACTCCCTATATTACACATCATTTAGAACACTATTTGGGTGCAGAAGCCATAAGATGTGAAGTGCAATATATAGGGAGCAGGGAGCAATTTGAGATTCAGCCAACGTTTAACTGCACATGTAAAAACATGGTTCTTCAAGGGTCTTTAAATAGGCAATGGTTAAAGTTTAGAACCATGAGTTCTATATAGAACCATTTGCCTTCAATAGAAAATCAGTCAAACTTCAAAGAACCATCAGTCTGAAAAACCCTTTCATAATAAAAGAACCCTTTCAGCATGTAAATGGTTTTTTTTAGTGTTCATGGTTCTATATAGAGCCTTTTTCTTTACTGAAGAACCTTTTTAAGAGTGTATATGGTGCTGTATAGCACCAAAAAGGGTTCTGCTGTTGTTACAGGCTTGACATTGTAACAGTAGAAGGATCCTTTTATGAACCCTATATAGAACCATTTTCACAAAGGCTGTATACGTAACCATATATCATGAGTATAAGTTCATGTAATTTATGGAGTTGTTTTACTTTTTCCATTATTACTAATGGAAAGGTTCCTTTTTACACACATGCTGATTTTTAGAAGTATCTATATTGACATTGGTATCAGCTTTGGGATCTCTTGATATCTGAGCACCCATCTCTTCTGTTTATATGAATAGCTGACTGTTCTGTTTCTACATCTTCATGATTTGTGTTAAACAGTCAGCAATAGTGAATTCCAAGGAGAGAAGTGAGTCAAGCACGCACACAAAAGAGAGAAGACGGTCGAGCAGTCGAGGTTAGTTTCTCTCAGCACCTTGTACGTCAGTTCTTCTCATATTTTTCTCTTAGTCCTTTTTGTCTGAACTGTTGTAATCATGGTGGAAAGTCAACATCTCCAGCCTCTTTCAATTAAAACACGTCAGGTTCAGTATCATCCCTGTGTTGCATTTATAGGACGGGATGAGAGGAAACGAAAGCGTAGCAGAAGCAGATCCTCATCTGTGAGTTCTTCCTCATCGTCCTCTTCCTCCTCCTCATCATCGTCTTCGCGGTCCTCTAGCAGTGACTCAAGCAGCAGTAGGAGTAGCTCCAGTAGCAACGGTGAGATTCCAAATACTGTTCGGTTTTAAGTGACACTCGCACAAAATGCAGGGCAGCAGGAGCTAAAAGATGAAGAGGGCCCTTGGACGGTTCTTTGATTGATGCAATAGAGAAACTACTTTTGCTTCCCTAAGGATCACGTTTGAAAAAGGGTTTGTTAGTGAGATGGATCTGTTAAAGGTCTAACCTTCACGTAATATAAAGTTCTATACCAATTTAAGGCTTCTTTTTAGAACATTTACGTTCACTCTGAATCACTCTGAATGGTTTCCATCTCAACATTTGAATTATGTGGAAATGTTGAAACTTGGGTGGAATTCCCCTTTAACTCATTTGAACTGAAAATCACACACTGTGCACCTTTAGCTGTTTGTTACTTTCTTGTTGTTTTGCTTGATTAAGATGTGCTATTGAACCATAATTTGACCAAAAGAGAGAAATACCACTTTTTTACTGTATTAGGAGGAAATAATTTATTTTACCATGAGGCATCATGCACTTATTTGAGTACCACTAATGTTTTTTTTCCCTTAATAGATTCTTACCAAAAGAAGAGAAAGGCTTCAAAGAAAGGAAAAAAGGAGAGAGCTGGCAAAAAGGTAGCTTTTCACTATTAGACACATAATTGACACAACTGACACAACTGATAGTTTGAATAGTTCATTCATTCACCAGGCAGTGTACTCCTCTGGGCCTGTAGATGCGTCAGAGGGCCCCTATCATGGAAATCTAAAATTAATTTTTTTATTTAATAAATAGTTTGAAATAATATGTAAACAAAGATTCGGAGCATACAGTTCACTCCCAGATACACAGACTGAAACTAAGCTCTGAGCGCCTCGTTTACAATTCAGTGTTCCTGTGATCATCAAACAACACATTTACATAAATTCACCTATTCAGCCTACAGTAGTTTAGCACCAGCCCATTCACATTGAAGTTCTAAGGAGTGTTTTATTACTCATATTTATTATTATTAATATAAGTATTAAACAGTTTAATAACAAGACTATTTTGAACAACAGAAACGAAAAAAAGAAAAAGCACGCAAGAAAAAGAAGGACAAGAAGCACAAAGGAGAGGAGGATTCCTCTGGTCCTGTTCAGATATCAAAGGTAATTGATTTTTCTACTTATAAACTATAAACAGCTGTTAACAGTGGCATACTGATGAATGTGGATCTGTCCCACAGTATCTGAAAGAGAAAAAGAGAAGTGGCAAGTACAGCATGATCTCAGGGAAGAAGATCAAAATGAAAGTGAAGAAATCAAAGAAAGACAAGCAGGTGAGTCAGAGAAGAGATTCTCACCATGAACTGTTGTCTTTCACTGTGAGGTAAACATGCCAGGCTGTAAAAATGTGTCTGAAAGTGACTATTCAAAGGAATCTGTTCAATTTTGGAATTTTATAAAAATTTGACAGTGTTTAGCCACAATAAAAGTCTAGGGATTTATTCAAACATGAAAATAACTGTCATGAAAAAACAACAAAACACATACACATTTTTTTGTATTTTGTTGAACAAATTTAGACGTATTTGAGCAAGATAATTTTTTGCAAGCAACCTGTGCACACTGTATCTAGCACTGGGTGTTTTATTTAAATAAAGGTTAAATAAAATGAAATAAAACACTTTGTCCTAGATACAGCTTTTTTATTCTGATTTTCTCAGGCACCTAAAAGTTTCGCACAGTACATGAGAGCAAATTGGATCATACACTTTACAAATGATGATACATACATGAGGTAATCTTGTGCCAGTGCTTGTTTTCACGCACAGAAGCTCATTTGTCTATTGTGCTCATGTCACAACTTGCTTCACCGTCATACAACAGTCTCCTGAATGAGACGCAGAGTAGTTCAGGACAGTCAAATCTGAGTTTGTTTTTTACGCAACTTTAAGTGCCAATACTTGCAATTATCACATATTAAGTAGTAAGTATTTTACCATATTGTAAAATAAAGTTCTGCCAGATTGTATTCAGGTTGAGTCACAGATTTACACCCTTACTGTAAATTGAGCAGTGCACAGCTGCAGGAGCTGTTTCAAGTAATATTACTAACTTTTTTTGCTCTTTTTTATCCTTTCAGAGAGATAAAAATCGCGCTGAGCTGTTGGAGTTTCTGAACTCTACATTTTGATGCATTCAGAGCTTTCCAGCTCCCTTCAGTCTTTCCTTTATCCAGGCCACGCCGCTCTCAGGGAAAGGCCAGCTTCTGTAACGGACAGCACTGTGTGGCCTCATACGGCTGTCAGAGAGAAATGTTTTATTTTGTTAATATCCAATTTCCAAACTAATTGTAATGTTATCAGTATCTGAGCTTGAATTTAAGTATCTCCAAACTGTACCTTGAATATTCAGACACAGTAATGCTTTTATTTTGTTGTTAATCTGTTTCTAAGTAATTACGTTGTCATCCCTCACACCTGACCTGCACATAGACCACCATTAAGAAGCTGTGGTGGACATGTAGAAAACAGCACCCTGACTTTAATGCTGTTTGAACACCTGTTGTATTTTTTCCCATAGTTTTACCCTGATTATATGTTAAATTTAATTTGAAATTTTGCATTTTTTAAACATGCAAACATAAGAAAAACCCTTCAGAGGGAGGAAATTGTCACACAGTTATCATCGTGCAGTAAAATGTCATGATGTTTTGCATAAACATGAAAAACTAGAACAACTGAGAAGAATAGCTTGTCTTTGTATGCAAATATGTAGATATCATATCTATCAAGGCAGTGTAGAACTAATGTCAGTTACATAATCGATCTGAATATTGTCTGACCACTGTCGTTTTCTTGTTGTGATAAGTGAAAATATAACTGTGACTCCTGCAGTAAACCTGTGATTCTATTATTTCTCCACTGATCAAAAACTTTTACTTTAGCAGTCATACTAGAATGTGTGTAGCAATAGAGATGATTACAGTATTTTGTAATGTTTTGTAACAGTTATTATGGTCAGACTGTAAAAGCTACACACGCTGCAGGTTCATACTGGATTTACTGAATGTAAAATGATTTGGTTTAGCAAACGCACTGAGTCATGGTCCACAGAACATACACTTACTGCCCACTGTAACACAAACCTTGTGCTTCTACTCACTGGCTGCTTTATTAGAAACACCTACCTTGTACTTCCACTAACTGGCCATTTTTTTTTAGAAACACCTGCTTTGTACCTCCACTAACTAACCATTTTATTAGAAACGCCTACCTTGTGCTTCCACTCACCGGCCACTTTATTAGAAACACCTCCTTATAGCTGAACTATGTAGATGTACAGTTACAGGCTGATGTCCATCTGTTGCTGTACAGTTTAACAGCCTCCTCTACCTCATTCTTCATTGGAAACTGACCACTGATGAAGGACTAGAGGATGGACAACACAAACAGATGAGCTACAGTCTCTAACTGAACACCAGCACTTCAGATCCAAACTCATCAGAAATTCTATGTATAATCGAGATTTGTTCAAAAACAAAATACTGCACTTGGCAGTTTAAAAACACTTACTCAGCCCCCTTTGCCTGAAAGACATAACTCTCATTACTATTGTTTGCTTGGCCTCAGCTGTGACGAATTCTTACTTTTTTCTCATTTTTTTAAATGTCTGATCTGAAGTACAAGGCTGTGCAAAGGTCTTAGTCATCTGACTCTTTCTTAGTCAAAGTTAGAATAAATACAAATAAACAATCAATTGTGGTTGTTAACAATTCTCAGCACTCTTCTCAAGGAACTCCAGAACAGTTCCCATCCAGCATCTAGTTTATTTAACAGTCCTTTATTAAATTAAATCAGGTGCTGCTGATGGAATTGAAAAAAAAAAATCCATGTGATGGATGGAGAGCAGCGGGAAGTCGGGAACCAAACCTGTTTTCTTCAAACTTATAATTTATAACTTAACTGAAAACTTAAAACTATAGACTACAGTATTTATGTTTGTATTGAAATTCAATGTTATATGGTGTTTTTATGGGCAAAAACAAACTTACTGCCAGATAAATAACTTTAAACAGTTTTTCTTCGCTGTCCAAGACTTCTGCACCATGTTATATAATCTTTAATAAATGCGGAATGACAACATTAACTTTTTAAAAGTTAATTATTGGTGTAGCTGTAATAATGTATACATTACTGTGTCAAAGTATTTATTTAATTTTCTGTCCTGAAAACTTATTCATTTTCCAGGAGATATTTTTGAGGAGATTATATGTAAGAGAATCCACTTCTATAAGGAAGCAGAATGTCAAAGTGAAAAAACAAGAATTTCCAAAACTGGAGTTTAAAAACTGATTGAAAGCTACAGAGAAAATGGGGCTCCTAACAACCACCTGGAAGACCTGTTGGACACCAAAACTGCCCCAATCAGATAAACAGCACATAAAGCTTTCATCTTTGAGAGAGAGGAGAAAATCAAGCTGCTTCAGATCTGAAAACATCCACAGGTGTTTCTGTCCATCCTTCCACTGTGAGAAGACGACTCAGCGCTGTGGGTCTAAAGGATGTGTAGCTGTCAAGAAGAACCTCACTGAGAAAAGGAGACATATCAAACAAAGAAGCTGAACAATGGACTGACCACCCCAGAGTCCAGACCTCAACAATACCGAATGTGTTTGATTACTTCAGAAAATGATCAACCAACTTCTAAGACTGAACTTCGTGTCTGCAGATTTCTTTGAGAAACTGAAATGAATAACATGTACTTAATACCTGTTTTGGCTGGGAATTAATTCAATTAAGGGTGGTCTCTGACTTTTGCACTGGGCTGTAGGTCTTATAATTCTTACATTTCATGTAAATGGGGGTAATTAAAGTGGCCATCAGTTGCTGATTATATCATTTAATATAAATTCATACTTACTGCAGTTACAGAGTTTAAAATTTAGTTGTCTTGAATATGACAATATACAAACTCTCATACACTCTTACACTCATACTCCATTGTAATATTTATACAGTTTAAAGGAAAAAGACATTGCTTCAACTCAAGTTTAATGTATTGCACAAAGTTTTCTGTTGGTTCACCACAGAGGTGCTGTTGTATATGTATTCAGAAACACTGCTGTTAAAGGATATGCTGGATATCTCCCATATTTACCACTGAAGTTAAAGCAGTAGTTTGGCCAAAATTACATTTACACATTTCCTTTTACCCCAAATGTCAGTCAAGACATGTTTGGTGTTTGAAGTTTGCTTCTTTAGTTTTACACTGGAGCTACAAGGCTAATGTAGCTAACAAGTGATAGAAGCTTATAATTAGCATAGAGCCTATAAACTTAAGTGCAGGCCTAAAACATCACACAGTTGTCTCAAACCGTGTTTAGTTTTTCAGTAATCTCTAGCAGACCTGCTTATGTGGTTTCTAACATTCTTTAACATACTTTATAAATATGGTACATTAGCATAGCTAAAAACAGCAGCAGCAGCCAGATTGAAGCCACAATTCCTTTTTTTCTCAGGCATTGTGAGATCTATTCTGCTGTTTTATGAAATTATTGATGTAGAAACGTTGTTCCTTTGCCAAATTATGCAAGAATACAGTTCGCACAATGCTAATTGGTGGGATACAAGCCTGTTTGTTAGCTACATTAGCTCCAGTGCAAAAGTAAATAAGCTAACTTCAGACATCAAATAAGTCTTGGCTGATCGACAAAATCTGGGGTAAGAGGAGACTTTTTAAATTTGATATTTGGCCAAGCTGTTGCTTCAATCCATACACTTTACATTCATTTATTAAAGTCAGATCTGCTTTAGTGAGGTTTCAGAGTCTCCCAGTCTAATGATCTTCTACACGTTCCCATTGATGCCTTTGTGTCTGAAGTCAGGCATGCTCCAGACCCGCTGTGCCCTGTCAGCTGAGTGCTGGAGGCCCTTCTCCACATCCTGGGACACAGTCTGCAGCTCTCCGACGCCCTCATCTGAGCTGTAACTGCTGGCGGTCAGGCCCACTGAGCTGCCAAAAGGGTTAATGCGCACTCGCGACTTAAAGCTGAGCAGGGACAGGCTGATAGAGCGCTTGTTGTTCCACTGACGGGACAAACGCTGTGCCTCCTGCTCCGCCTGCATCCGGTCCAGAGCCTCTAGCAGCACTGAGCGGAACAGTCCAGAGACCTCCTGCACCTCTGGCTCGTTCTCCATCAGCACCTGGCGAAACCTGCAGAGGAAACATGGGAAAATTAATAACAGATCATATTTCTGCTCCTTCTTTGGCTTTGTGCTTGGGATCATTGCTTTCCTGAAAAGTTGAACTCTGTTTTGTTTGTTTTTTTTTAGCAGACTGAAGCAGGTCATCTTTCAGTACCTCTCTGTATTTTGCACCAATCCTCCAATTTTAACAAGATGCCCAGATTTCCCTGCAACACGATGCTGCTGCCACCATACTTCACTGTTGGTATGTTTGCTGAGGAATGAGCAGTATTAGCTTTGCGTCACACAATCTCAGCTGAACTCTGTAGCTCCTTCAGCGTGATTGTTGGCCTCTCTCCCTCACAGAGTCCTCTTCTTGCTCTGATGCTGAGTTTTGAGGGATGGATAGGCAGTTCCTGGGTGGTATGATGCAGCTTTCATTTCCAGACATTTGATCCAACAGTGCTCACTGGGATATCCAAACACTCAGTTATTTTGTAGCCTCTTCCTATCTTGTGAATGTCTATTACTTTATCTCTTATTCCCTTAGGATGCTCTTTGGTCCTATTTTCACAGCTTTTCTTCAGATTCCCACTCTGACAAATAGTAATTGAACTGAAAATGTGAGGCCAATTGTAAGACAGTTTTCTTTAGGCCAATATCTTTCATCTGTGAAAACTTGGAGCCTCCACAGCTCAGGGGTTGAGTAATTATGCAAACAATATTTTTCAGTTAGTATTTTTTGTCACTCAATATTTTCTTACATAAAACCAGTGGGGAACCCTCAGGGGCCTTCTAGGCCTTCAAAGAATGCCTAATGATTTCTGGGAGCTAAAAAATGGGTGTCTGCAATTTTTAGTTAATTTGTATTTTATAGAATCATGTTTTTATTTAAACTGTGCAAGTAAACAGGCTCTCAGAGTTTGAAGGTGGAATATTACTGGATAAGTATTACATTACTACTCTTGTTTCACTGTTAAGTTTAGGTTGGAAACAAAATTGTTAAATACTTGAAAAGCTGAGTGGAAAATTGGCCAATCAGAAATTGCTTTTCTCCTTGGTATCTAGGTAGATATAACTAAACAAACTCTCCTATTGGTCTAAACTTCAGGAGTTGAAGAGAAGTCTTAGTGTTAGAAGCCCTAATGTATTAGATGAAGTATAAGCATAATTATGAATTGAGGAATAAACCAAACACTTTGATTTCACATTTTGTAAAAAGATTTTATTCTAAGCAATTTTGGAGCATTTCTACTGGTCTATCCATCATGAAGCTGCTGAACTTAAAAGACAGAGAAAAATAAAAATTGAAAAACTGAGATATTTGGACAGCAAAGATATAGTAACATGTCACAAGCTTCAAGCTTCAACATGCTTCAACAGAAGCTTCAAATGTCTGTGTTTAATCTAGAACAACCAAACAATGTTCACATGAATCACTGTTAGCTTAGCACTAACAAATTACTAGATGGTGGAGGTGTTCTTTTAGCACTCATGTTCTGACTAAGAGTTTACATTTATAGCCTGGATTAAATGTGTAGCTCTGATAGTTGCGGTTTACCACTGCATTAAACCAATATCACCTTAAATTAATAAATTTTGAGGTTCATTCTTTAAAAATAAAATACAAGACAGCACAAAATATCAAAGTGTCATTTGTAATCCAAATGAATCTGATGAATTTTAAGGGGCTTGAAGACTTTTGGGGGGCTTTTATTTTAAAGCTACATGTGATTATTCATGGTTGAGATTCACTTTTGTCCCTTTTTCATTCAGCAGTTTCAGTCTGAATGTTCTGTCTGGGACATGTTAGCAGTTCTGCCGCTAATTGCCCTTTGTGTTTGTGATCAGCACTCAAGCTCGAGGCTCATCAGGGCCTAAGGATAATGGCTCCCCCATGTGCCGAGACTTCAGCCTGCCAAAGCCACTTATTTCACTCTCCAGAGGCCAAGGAGTTCTTAGGAAGCCTTAAAATAGGTCACCATACTGGGTTTTATCTCCATCGTTTGAATCAGCCGGTGTGCGTTTCCTTTGCGAACATGGAAAGCTCTTTCTGAAGAACTTATTTATAAAGTGTCTGGAGGCTATTAGCTTGTCAATTCCTTACATTTCTTATCAACTTCTTTGATTATGTAGCAGTTCATTTATTAAAATGAAGCAGTTACCAGGTTTCTCAATGTGTAATGCCTTTACTTTGCGAATACTTTGATTTTAAGCAGATCATTGTCAGGATAAGTTTCATACTCACTGTAGACACAGAGATCAGACTTAAATATGCCATCTTCAATGCAAATTTTAACACATATTCTAATCAGTTGCTGATTTTAACATATTGGAAAAATCTAATAAAATCTAACCTTTGCATAGGCCACATTTTATGTTTTATTTTTTGCCCAATATGTTACATTTTTTGTCAACATATTAATGTTGTGATATTATTATTAAATAATAAACAGTAATTGTGTTAAAAGTGTGTTCACTGAAGTTAGCTTCCAATTCAGATTTTTCATTCCACCTTAAATGGTGCAGCAGTTACAATGAGGTGCCTCAACTGCTGCACCATTTAAGGTGGAATGGAAAATTCCAATAACAAGCTGGTGAATAGGAAGCTTCATGGTCTTAGCTTCATAACAGTAAGTGAGCACAATGAAGACAAAGAGAAAGTAAACAACCTCCCAGAGTTTGAAGGCAGAGTAGTACTGGAAAGCAGTGGATAATAATGTTCCAGTTTTAGCCTACATGTGTAAATAAACTGTCCATGCCCGTTTTCCAGATTCTTCTTTCTTCTTTTTTTCCGAACTACTTTACAAAGCACATCAACGCAATTCAAATCAAAAAAAGAAAAGATTTTGCTATGAAATGCTTTTGGTGACTATTTACTTCCAGTGTTTATTAGCACCATTAGCCTAGCACTGCCAGATCCAACCTAAAGAAGCAAAATGTTTTGGCCAATTGGCTGCATTTGGGTTGAAAATTACGTAAATTTGATTTCTTGCTGAACTATTTCTTGGTAGGAATTTTGTGCCTCCTGAAAACTTTATGCATGGGCTGCATGCGTCACCTCATTTCACTTAAGCAAAAATAAAAAATAAAAATAGTGTGCTACGATAACTAGAATGACACATGAAACAAATCCTAACCTCACCTAACCTAACCTCACTTGCCTACTCAAACAAAAAGTACTTAGCTAACCTAAAAAAATTCCCTGGCCAGTAATCAAAAGTGCATGTGGCGGTGCCCTCTGACCTCAGGAACTAGAAAAAATAGACGTGGTATAATGTATAAGAACCCCTTTTACCTGTTTGAGAAAATGTGGGGTCGTCCCTCGAACCTGTCAATACTTTAAAATGTGGCAAAATTTTATGACCCTCCTCTTTTTGTTACAGCCCAATATTTAAACTCTTACATAACTTGCAGTGAACTCTGAATATGAACATAAGCAGCAGGACTTAATGATTAATAATCAATTAAACCGTTTTTTAATTCAGCTCTGTTTTAAGAAGAATCCTAAACCCATTCCATCTTTAGTGGGATCTTACTATTGACTTTGGCTATTGTCTATTTTTGTAAATATACAGTGAGGTCTAAAAGTCTGAGACCCCTAGTGAAAATAATGAGTCATTTTCTAATTTAATACAAACTATTTCATTAAAATTATGTTATCAGCACAACAATCTGAGTGAACAGTAGAATCTTTGTTTGTTTGTTTGTTGTTTGTCGCCATTTTGCTATAATGACTGCGTACACTCAAGCTGGCACTATGCTGACCACTACTAGTAAAAAAGCCTCTGATTAGCACATTTCTTCCCATCTGTTTAAGCAGAAAAATCATCTATATGTTAGTTAATTCAGTTGGGAAAGTACTTTTACCTTTTGGGCTTTTTGCACTTCTTCTGCACTGTTTTGTTTGTTTTATTTTTTGTATCTTAATCCTCACTATGCTTAGTCTGTTGTGCACAATAAAAATAAATCAATAAATAAATAAACAACAACAATCTGGCCTTTTTGCGCAAAGGCCATAACGTGGTTATAATTTGAATTTAAATAATGACCTAGAAATAGAGCAGAATCATGAACATTCTTCATTTTACTTGTTGTAACTTTTCTTTGTCTTAGTTTTCAAAATTCTAAAATGTTCTGTTGTTTATTTGCAGCATTAAATGAAAACAATCCTAGTGGGTTTAACATGGTCTCAGACTTTTGGATGCAATTGTATGTTTGATTATTGTCCTAAAAGCTCAAGTCAAGTTTTATTTATAGCACTTTTGATAATAGGTGTCATAAAGCCACTTTGCCCTGCTGATCGAGTTTTATTTAGGCCTCAGAGGATCTAAAATTTAGGCTCCTGTTTTTTTCATCAGAAAGTTACTTACTATCATAAGCATAAGATGAGGCTTTTTCATTGCTCTGGCAGAATAAGACATCTGGATCATATACTCCACATAAACCCTGCATAATGGCTTCTGACAGGTAAAAACTCCTCTGGGGCCTAAATGGACTTCTAATATGATCAGCAGGGCAGACGCTGGCCAGCACATCACTGTCCATCCTGCTGATCCTAAAGCAGCTTCTTGGTGGTCAGTCCTCTAGCCAGTCTCTTGTGAAACTTGCACCAAAAGCAGAACAGATCATGAAATATCATTTGTTTTCCTGTGAAGACTGAAGTCTATTGACGTCCATTCTATGAAAGCCTGTAGTTGTGAACACACACACTGACTGTCCATTTTGGGGACAGAAGCATAGATGCTGCATCCAACACAGTCCCATAATGACACTGCATCTCTTCAGAAAGAAAGGCCACACTGTAAAATTACCCACTGATATTTACTCCAGCTGTCACATGACTGCCCTTTCTAAATAATGAGCCATTATGGAGCAACGTTGATGCCCACCCTCCATAAGACAGCTGTAATTAACAGATTGTAGAAATGGCTTGGCTCCAGTTAGCTCAGGTCTAAAGGTGCATAATTACCCATAAGGGACATTACCTAATACATATTTGAAGATGCTCATCAACACGGAGCTCAACAAGTTAGTAGAGCATATCTGCAGAAAAAACTTTCTACATACTTAAAACAATGAGATCAAAGTCATTCTACAACACAAATATAGGCATTTTGTTTACTATCCAAAACCACCAGTGAAGCATCATGCATCTTCTGAGCTTTTATATGGAATATTGGTAAGGTAAAATAGTGAGAAATCTAATAAAATACATTTAAAACTATTGTAAAACAACGTCTCAGGCATCAGGCAGTGTATTCCTAACCATTTCGTGTAATAACTTTCTGTGAAGGAGCTTTTAGAGGTGGATCTCCGGTGCCTGTCACCACCACTGTGAACAATTTTGACTGAATGTTTGTCTAGAATGGAACATTTCACACCAAACCACTCTGAATTTTGTCCCATAGGGAAATTCCCTAAGGGAATTTTGATCACTATTGAGGTTAAAGATAGGGTCACTGATTTTTATATCAAAATGCTTTTTGGAATATTTGGTAAAATTATTCCAATTATTAAAAAAAGAATATTGAGAAGCCCTGGCCTAAAGCATTACATAGCAAGCTAGCAGAGTTGTACAGAGCCTGAGTTGTGATAAAACCCAGTGTGACAACTGATTATTTCTTGTAAGATATAACAGCAGGGAAAATAACTCTAAAATTGTCAGTTCCTATGCTTCCTACAGCAACAAAAACTGACAAACAAACCAAGAAGAACAAGACAGAGGAACAGAAAATGAAAAGGAAAGAATGAGACCCGACTGCAAAGATCAGAGTGAACATCAGAGTGGCTTTCCCATGTGGAAGAGAATAAAAAGTGATGCCAGCCTCACTCTATATCTGCTAGATCAGTATTAGGCCTTATTATTTTGCATAGCATATTCCAGGCTAACCTTGCAGCTGACATAGCAAAGTAGCTAATGTTTTGTTGCTAAAATTACCCATGAACTAAATCAGCTTATATATGCTGTGTGCTAAGAAAATCAGCAGCCAAAGAGGATCTCTGTCCGACAAGGATAACGTTTAATTAACTACACTAAAAATGAAAAATTAAAAAACTAAGAATTATAGAAACCATTCAAACTCTGGCAGATGCTTTAAACATTAAGTCTCAATAAAGTAATGTGATGCTATTTACATAACTTAATACATAATACATTTACATAAGTCAATTTACATAATTATTTGCTATTTATACAATTTCTTTTCATTTCTAATGAAATGAATCATGCTAAGGGACAACAACAACTCTCAACAACTCTCTCTCTCTTCCTTTCTCCCGTTAGGGGGTGTCTGTCCTCATTTGATTTGTTTTAAGTTGTTATTGCTATTGTTCACATTTGCACTTGCTTATATCTCGATGTCCTTTTATAAAAAATCAAATATGTCCTTATATCTATTAAAAGTACATTATAATTTTAATTTGCAACAATGTAAGTTGCTCTAATTTATTTAAGACAATAATAATGAACGGATGTAATCATGTAGAAACATGAAGGTACACAAACGTGCTGTCTTGACTTAAACTCACTCACTATAGCTGCTTATCCTCCTGGGTCGTGGGGGTTGCTGAAGCCTACCCCAATACTCATTGGCCAGAAGGCAGGAAACACCCTGAACAGGCCACCAGTTCATCTCAAGGCACATACATTCACACACACATTCACAGCCAGGGGCAATTCAGTATCTCCAACCAGCCTGACTGCACATCTCCAACAAGTAAGGACTCTGGTCGCCCGGCCAGGGAATCGAACCATTCTTGCTGTGAGGCAACAGCGCTACCTACTGCGCCACTGTACCGCCATGACTTAAACTGACTTGAATTAATAATTTCAGCAGCCAACGTGCCAGAACTTGTGTTGCCAGAACAAACAAAATTCCCCCTTTTCCCAGATGATCCACTACACTATAGAAACAAGCAACACTGATGTTTTAAATATAATATTTATTGAGTAGTGAATGGAAAAGTGACCATTTATTTTCTAGTTAATACTAAAAAACCTTACTATTCACTTCTCCCTCAAAAGCAGCAAATGCTACCTCATTTTTGAGGTAACAAAAATAAGTGGCAACAAAAATAAGTGTTTTGATGTGTTTTAATTACATGATTGTGCAATAGCCAGACTGTGTGGGTAATGTTATTTTCGCTTAGTGTAAATAGACACTGCCTAATGCTGTCCAATAGTCACTATGGTATTTTGTGTTTTGGACCCTAATGGTTTAACTGGTTTTCTGGGACTGATTCCAGATGATGGTTTTCTAATGGGATCTGAAGGTGTCCTACAGGAAACTAGGGGTCTTTTTTGGTACCCATTAAGCCAATTCCCACTAGAAAGTAAAACCATCAGGTTTTTGTCCTATTGGTCAGGGTTTCAGAGTAGATAGCTAGTGTCTGTGTTAGCTAGCTTTAGTGTTTTAATTATTTGTGTCAGTGTTCACTTATTTATGATAATCCACTGCTGACCTGCTAAAAAACAGCACAGATGTAGGAAGCTGGGGAGCTGAGGGGGCTGTAGTACTCCCAATTTTTTAGACAGCAACTGCTAATGATAATAATAATACTAATAATAATAGTAATATAATAAAAATAATAACAGAGAGCTCTGAAGACCCTTTTTTTTGTTTTAGAGAGTTTATTCTTTCCTATTTTTTTGATATGTATATATTCTAAATCTACAGTAGCTGTGCACTGTTTACGCGATGTATTTTCATTAAAGTGAGCCAAATCACTTCCCTCAGCAACTGCTGGTTGCTTTGTGGATGCATCGCTAAACACACACTGGTTGATGTAAATTATCCCAAAGAAATGTACGTGTTGTTTACATCACTTATATGCTGCTTAAAACTTTAGCATTCTCAACTTAAAATGGCTCCCAGTATCCCTGACATGGGTAGATATGTATGTGCCGACTTTTGTGAACTTTGTGAACTAATATATTCGTAAACAAACACAACAAAGCTAGCACACAACTGAATTAGCCATATCTTAATCTAATGTGGAATCTGGGTTTATATGCCGTTCATATGTTTGTGCATGAAGCTAGGAAGTAATTCCCAACACTGATGTGTTTGCTGATGTGTCACTGTTCCTAACAAAACACATGCTAAATTCCCAGACTGAATTAGTTTTCTGCTGCTGCTCCAGACAGGTGGCTAACCATCACTAACAAAACATCAGAAATCTGTGTAAAGTAGTGTTCGTTAATTGTAACTTTAGCACTCCAAACCATACATGTATCAAATGTATCATACAAATCGTCTAAAGAAAGAAATCTGCTTGGCACTTTGTGGTCATTTCTACAGACTCAGATTGAGCTCAACAATTACACTCGATGTTTACATCCTGTATGGATCTGCTCTAAAAACATATTTTTATGACAGTTTAACATTAATGTTAGGATGTATGTGATCTGCTGTCACTTTGCTCAGAGGGATCCCATCACTACCTGTAAGCATTTACATAAATGTAAATTGTCGCTGTCCAAAGAAAATATACCATGACAAAATACCATGTATCTCCCTTTTTGACAATTTTTATTTTTCTACATAATTTCAACACACCAGCTGTCCTTGATGTCATGATGAATGGACCAATAGAAATGCTCTAAAATCAGTTGGAATAAAAGCTCTTTACATAACATACATGGAAAGGTAAGAGTGTTTTTGCCCTCTCCTGTAAAGTTGCTATTTTGGAGATACTTTTTTTCTTTGGACAGCAACGAAAATATTATTTCACTCAGACACTTCTTATGGCTGTTTTCCGCTGCTTCATTTCAATTTTGACTGTTTATGTCCAACTGTTGGTAGTCTGTGTGCTTTTGCAAATATAACAGCATGTAAACTGAACAATTAAACAATCAGCAGCATGCAGAAATGCCTGTCAATTATAACAAAAATTGCAAAAAAAATTGGTTGGGTAATAAGGTTATGTCCAGCATATGTCTCATCATATCTCAGTACACCAGTATTTGTTTACAAGCAGATCAGATGTATCGCCTCAGACTGAGAACAACAGCATCTATGTATTTATATCTATTATCTCTCTCTGAGGTCAGTCTAGCCAAGTTCAAGTGCATTTCTGTTGAAATATTGGCTCATTTATGCTAATCATGACCGTAAGAACCCTTTAATAGGTTTTCTTAATGAATCACGTTGAGATATATTGTATCATATAAGGATCACAGGGAACGTAGGGCCTTGGGAATGCAGGTACACTCCTGTGTAAATGTGTGTTAGTTACCTTAGTATAACTGCCCCGCAGTAAGAAGGCTGCACTTTGCTGCACAGCTCCTCGAGGGCCAGTCTCTCTGCCTGGCTGATGTCAAAGGTACTGCGGGGGGCGCTCATGAGCCAGCTGTAGTCGACACCTGTTTGTAACCTGCGGTACTGGTTGTCCCGCTCACGCTGCAGCCGCTGAGCCTCCTTCAGTTGCCAGCTGAGCTCCAGCATCAGCGTGTCTGTCACAACCTCGGAGGGGTCACGCCGGGGCCGCCGGTACTGAGGCTCGCTCCAGATAAACCACGACATGGCCCAGAGTCAATGCACTTTTATCCTGCAGGGCTGGATCAGGCATGAAAAAATAGAAGCAGCAGATATCCAGCTGTGTTATACAGATTTTGTATATAAACAGCCTTGGCAAAAGTTGTAAGTGACCGAATACTAATGAGAACAACACTGTATACTGAATACACTGTCCTAAATGTATTCAGTAATGCGTTTCATTACAATACATAACAAACTGGTTGTCTTTATGTAATGATTTGCCTGCTTCAGTTCACTGTTGCTCCCATGATTCCCTCAAGCTGGATTCCGGTACAGCACAGATGCTAAACTTATCACTCATAAACATGCCCACTACTGAGGAGATTATTAGTAGTTTGTTGTTAATAGTTTGATTATCTCTCAAGTAAGCTCAGTAACATGAAGATTAATAACTGATCATATTGATTTATCAGTCTACTCAGGCTTTAGCAGAGCTCAGTAACATGAAGATTAATAACTGATCATATTGATTTATCAGTCTACTCAGGCTTTAGCAGAGCTCAGTAACATGAAGATTAATAACTGATCATATTGATTTATCAGTCTACTCAGGCTTTAGCAGGAACTTCAGTGTTTGTAAAGAAGCTGTTGAGTTCCTCTTTAGAATTCATCTAACAAGCATGTTTGCTACATGCCATGCACTGACTCTAAAATAGTTAATAAACAAGAATTGATGGTGTTTCTAATGAAGATTGTGTTATTTTATTGAGTGCGTACATTTTTAAGCATTCTCCTAAAAATGGGAAAAGTAGCTGTATTCTAAATACTGCCTTAACAAAATGTAACCTGGTCTGAATACAGATACTTAACTTCTGTATTCTGAATATGTATTCCTGATACTTGTATTCCATTACATCCCAACCCAGTTAATGTCCTTTTGGACCTTACGGCTGTGTTTGACGCTGTTTTTTTACATTATTCTGTTTTGGATCAGTTCTTGATCTGTCTAAACTGTCTGAAGTGGTTTACTTATATTTTACTGAAGGACAGTTTTTTTGTTACTCTTGGCAATTGTTATCTAGAAAGCATGACATTGGCTGTGGTGTACCTGTCCTTGGGCCACTCTTATTTTCTTTATATTACCCTACTTTCTTGTTCAAATGTTTAGTGCTTCTTAAATAGTTATTCTGCAATCTGGTTTACTACTACTAAATCAAAAGTAGAGGTCAACTGATCAGCTCAACCAATAATCAGGTCCTATATTTATCATTTTCCAATATTTGGCAAGAAAACCTCTGCAAAAATAGTGAGAAATGAAATTTATTTCTGTGCCTCGTTTTGAGTTACCATTACATATTTTTAGTATCATTTTAAAGACCTATTAGAAAGGGTTTTTGTTAACTATTAGAGTTTATTTTGAAACGTATCATTACACTTTCTGATCATAATTTTCACATTTATATTGTCTGGAAACTCCATGTACTATTTTATGATGTTCAAATGTTTAGTGTTAGTATTTCATTAAACACTTACATTCACTTAATGTTCATTTTTTGTAGGAATTGTGTTCCTATAAATTTTCACACTATTTAAATTTAAAATTTATGGTCAATGGAATCGGCCCAATATATCAGTTATCAGTTTTCTTGTCTACCGATAATCGGTATTGATAATGGCAAAGAAAAACACATATTGGTCGATCCCTAAGCTAAATATGTGAAAAAAAGCCTGCTGTATGTGAAAACAGAAGCAGCAGATATCCAAAGCTGGGTTACAGAGAGGCCAATGAGGCCAAATGCCAATGTGCAGGACTGGCTTGGGATCTGTATGATTTTTGTGTTTTGTAATTATAAGTATCGATTGTTGTTTTTAATACTACTACTACTACTAATAATAATAATAATAATTAGTAGTTGTCTTCTTTAGTTGTCTTCTTTCTGTACTAGTGTAACCCAAGTTGATTGGATCTAAGCTGCCTGTCTGAGTTTGATTTAACTAGCAAATGAAAATGAATTCATTTTTCCAAGCCTTTCAATTTGCAAAATCCCTTTTGAGGTTTCGCCCTGTACGTCTCTGTTATGTGTCTGAGGGTTTGGCTCCCCCAGGATACAACACCTCTAACTACTAGCCTTAGTCAGCTAAAATTTTGCTGACACATCTCATCTCATTTAGTAAATAAAACATTTCATGGTTCTAACAACATGATGTGTTTGAATCAGACCCCTAAACTTATTATTAGACTGTATTTAGAAAGATCTTAACCATTCGCTCTGTGGAAACAGCCCTTTTTCCATTTTCCCACCACACACTAAACTTTACTCTGGAATTCCCTTGGCTAGATGACGAAATGATTTGCATTCATGATTTCATGTCCTTAAATCAAATAAGGGAGCAGATTTAAATCAGTAATTTGAGAAAAGTCTACACTTTAATAGTATTTGAACCCAGCGAGAGACCCACAGAGCAGAGGAAGTTCCCTTCAGACGCAACAAGTACATTGTATTGTGACAACAAAGAGGGAATTAAGAGATTTATAAAATTCTAAGTGTATATAGTAATTACGTGTATCAGCAACAGGCATTTATACGTTATCCCTTTAAAACCCAGTCATCCTGAGACCCCTCATCATCGCCTTTGTTCTGCTGAACATGCATTCATTATTATTACCAAATACAAATCAGTAAAGTACAGGACAGACACAGCAGCTCCTCATAAAAGTAGCAGCAGCTTAAGTATGTATAAACCCAAAACCTACCTTTAACTCTTTTCCCTTCGCAGTGGGCCGCTTACTCCTAAATAACAAATCCCAGGATTGCAAATATCTCGCTTTGCTCCTTTGTTTTCAGCTTCTATCCTTGTTTACATTGCGTACTCCTCTCTGCTCTTCTGTCCTTCTGTTCTTTCCTCCCTCTCTGTCTCTCTCTGGGCTCCCTCCCCCTCCCTCTGGTGGCCCAGAGGCTTTAGAGCCTGTAGCGCGTATCTTAAGGGAGAACAGCTAATTCACATTCACTCCCTCACTCCCTCCCTCACTCACTCTGCTGAAGTGGTTGCTGGCTCGTGGTTGCTATAGCGATGCTCTGTAAGCCTATTCGTCCAGAGCCAGCCTCCGAGAAAAGCTGTGACGCATGAGGGCCTGAGCGAGGAGGTCATGTACAGCGAAAAAGAGATTAATAAGCATGTGTGGGCTTACAGGTCATGTGGCAGAGGGGCATTAACTGCTGAGAGGTTAACTACTCTTTACTGGTCACTGTTTGTTTCCCCTCTCCATCAACTCATACACTTACAAGTGAAGGCTTCACACCCCTTAAACTGCAGGCTTATTGATGTTTAAGGGGGAGTTCCACAGATTTTTCAGATGTAAGAAAGAAACCGCTCTGAATGATGTTCTGGTCAGAATTGTTGGAACAATGGTGGTGATAGGAACCAGACGTCTGTGGAGTTGAATGCCTCTAAACGGTCCCTCGCAATGTTATTTTTCCAACAGCATTCCATATAAAACTAAGAAGACACATGTAAGTTAAAGACCTTTAGCTTCCATCACTTGTTCGCTGCATTAGCATCGTTGTTCCTGTGCAAAGCTAAATAAACTTCAGGGATGTTTTGGATGAAGATTTGTACAATGAATTTGTACATTTGCAGTTTTATAGATTGAAGGTGGCGACTTTATTCAGTGGTCAAAATGTGTATAATGAGTTAGGCCTTCAGTTTGAGTCACGGGTGTCAGAACAAAAGAAAATACACCTTTCTGATAATGCCAACCTGCTAACATGGTTAGCCTAGCGCTAACGTACTACTTTAGCCATGACCTACATAAACATTTTTTGGCCATTCTAGATTAAATCTAGACATTTGAAGCTAGTAAAAGACATTCCATATGTTTTATTTGAAGCTTGTAACAGACATTAATATATATTTGAGCTTGTATATAACAGTTTTACTGTGATTCCTTCAGTAAAAAAGGCATAGAGCTGCCATCTGTGTTTTCCATTTGTAACAGCTAACCCAAACCTGATTAGATTACAGCTTGTATTTACAATCAGTGATGTATCGAGAACTTCCAGAAGGCTTACAGTGACATTTTTATCTTACGAAAGTGATCCCACCCTGCCCATAAATCAAAACTGGTTGATTCATCTGTCACTTCCTAATTATGTTGTTAGTTAACCTAATGTGTAAGACCTTCAGTTCAGCTTCTGAAGTCCTAACCAACGGCCGAGCTTGCATGCTTGTATCTACCTACAGAGAAAACAATCCTGATTGGATCATTTTCTTTTGGCTGTTTCAAAAGTTTAACCCTATTCTTTCCAACCAAAACTTAACAATGAAATGAAAGTATTACCGCAACACTTGCAGAGTTTAAACAAGTGTGATGATTATATTAGAGGAAAAATAACTAACAATTACAGACATGTTTGTATTTTTTATTTCATAGACATCTGTGAAATCTCTTAAGGCCTAGAAGGCCCTGAAGGTTCCCCACTGACTTGATCAAAAGAAAAGCCTTTTGCCTAGCATGGTTAAATACTGTGAGACATTGTGTAAAGCATCTCATGCTTCAAGATGTATAAACAAAGCCATCAATTCTGTGTTATTTTACAGCACCATGTAAAACTGTAATCATTTGTGTACTGCTATTTTCAAAGCAAACCCCAGTGACGCGTATCTATTTATCGGAAAGTAATATCGGCTAAAGCGCGATTACAGCAGAGCAAAGCTATGTGAGCTTGCAGGAGCCTGGAGGCTGGCAGATGGAGAAGAAAACCCCCATCTAAATCTCAGCAGATGTCTCAGCTAATCTGGCTTACTAATACCACAACACGGGTGAGGTCAGCCCTGCGCTAACTAAGCCACATCAGCTGTGTACTCAGGCTGTAGAGAAATAGGACCTAAAATTAAATTCCATTTAACAAGAAACCACACCAAACAGGTTCAAGCTAATGTCAATGCTTATTTTCAAAGAACATTCCAGAAAACGTCTTATAGATGGTTCAGACGAGCTCTTACCCTCTCATGGTCCTACATATGATGGTAATTGAGCTCACCAGGGTGCAGACTGCTGGTTCAGATGTCATTCTTAGTTCTTGTTATAGATTTAGAGGAAAGATTCAGAGTCTTTAGAGGCTGAAGTGACATCACTGTCCTGAAATCACAGTGTGTGCTGTTTAATCAGTCTTCTGTTTATCTGTTCAGAGAAACCGTTTATGAAGTGTTTTTATTAAATAATACAATTAGGTTGCTTTGATGACCTTCCCAAAACATTTCTAGAAGACATAGCAAAATTATAAACCAGGTTGTCCCTCACTCTTTTTTATATTCGTCAATAATTGACCTGCAGATGATAAAAGATGAATAAATGAAAAGGCATCATTTCATCCCACAGGATTTGACTGTGATTTGGAAGAGCCAAGGGAGTTACCTCATCTCAAAGTTTTTTACACTACCTCTACCTGACTGAATGTGCTTTTCATAAACATAAAAGGGCTCATATCCTGTATTTTTCTTTTCTATTCTATTTGTTTGTGGCTGTTTTTGTTACTGTGTGTTTAAAGGAGAATTCCACCAAATCTTCAAAATTTTATGAATTGTGCACAGCAGAGATCACCAGTCTTACTCACAAAGGGCCGATGTGGCTGCCTGTTTCATTACAACCAAGTTAGGAGCACCAGAGCCGCTTTAAAGGGGAACTGAATTATCAAAAATTATAACTAACAATTACTAATTACTAACTAATAATAACTAATTAAACAATAAAAGGTTGAAGTGTAAACAGAGTCATTCAGAGTGGTTTGGTGTGAAATGCTCTGTTCTAAAGAAACTTACCGAGTCAGAATTGTTCACAGTGGTGGTGATAGGAACCAGACATCCGCCTCTAAAAGCTCCCTCACAGAAAGTTACTACATGAAATGGTTATGAATTCACTGCCTGATGTCTGAAACATTGTCTCAGAAAACACGAGTAGGTTAACTGGTGGTTTTGAATAGTAAATAAAATGTCTATATTTGTGTTGTAGTCATGGTGACCCCTGGTTCCTATCACCACCACTGTAAAGAAATCTGAACCATTTCACACCAAACCACTCTGAATCACTCTGTTTACATCTCACTCACTGAATTATGCAAAAAAGACTGACATATGTAAATGAACCCTTTCTGATTGGCTGTGCCTCTTTAAAAACAGTTTGAAAGAGTCTAAAATACTCCTTATAAATTCAGCATGAATGGATGGGGCTAAATTAAAACATTTACTTAATTGCAGAAAATGTGTTTCGTTAATCACAATATTGTGTTCACATACTACAGCTGTGTTTGCAAGTTGAATACTGGCTAGTGTTTCTGAGTTCTGTCACTACTGCAACATTTGGTAAAGTTTCATTATGGTTGTTTTGATAGTGACAAAACGGAATGTTCAATCATTTCTTTTAATAAAATAGACCTAATTAAGGCATAGCGTCACTCAAAGCAAAAGAATTTTAGTCTGAAGTCAAAGTCAATTTAAAGTCTGAAACTTATCCATATCTGGAAACCAGTGCTTATAAATGCAAATCAGTCCATTCGTCTCCAAATTATCGATGTTCGTCTGAAATCTTTGTCTTTGCCTTTTCGTTAGCTACTAGCTGGGTGAGACAGAGACTCCAACATTTAAGAAATTTTAATGTTGAAACTGTTAGAACGATCAGGAGAGCTTTATTTTACTTTAAAGGAGGATTATTTTATTTTTACCTAAATATCTGCTGAGGAGCCGCAACAGGGCAGTAAAAGAGCCGGATCCACATGTTGCCAACCACTGATATAGTATGTGAGGTTTATCCCACAGCTAGCAGTGCTCTCTGTTTCCCTGCGGGACACCTCCTCTTCACACGGAAGGGTGTGATCATTAGCGGAGTTGAGTCAGGTGCAGTAAACCAGGATAAACACTGCAGAGCTGCAGGGGGAAGATTTGGTGTCAGGTTTCTGTTTTAACTGCTTGCAGGACTGTCAGAACCATGTTATTGAAAAGGGAACAGGTGTTGATACAGCTCAGTGCTGTTAACCTTACCTGCTTATTTAGCAACTCTGTTCTCTTTGGTGTCTTCCCCTCCGTCTGTTTCATGCTACTTGTGCACATTTTGTTTTTATGAAGCTTATTTCTCTTTTCTTTTTCACAGAAAGACCCATATTTTGCACTATATTTTGTACTGTGTTATTTCTCTTCTCACAGCCACTCCCAGCTTTCACATTCTGTGATATTTTCATTTCTGTTTCTGTTCATCTCATGCGCTTACTCACTTTTTCCTTTCTAAACCTTTTCTTTCAGTTTGAAAGCTAAGAGCTCCACATGTACTCCACAACTGTGTGTAGTGTCAACTGATAGTAATTAGTTCCATTCCCTCATGTTCTCCAGTAAGATTTGGTGGATTTGTATTTTCAGATGGAAGCAATTTTACCTCTGCTTAAAGGATCTGTTTACACCCCACATCAACATGTGTTTTCAGTGATCGGATCATGTTCAGATTTCACTTGATCTTTAAAAGCCAGGTGTAAACACACCCAGGATGCACTGTGTTCAGATTACGATCAGATCACTCAAAGCACATTTCAAGACAGATCTTGATCACAATTAAAGCAGGTATAAATGAAATGTGTTTTCATTAAAAATGTACAGTTACATATGTGGAAGTGCATCTGCTGAGTGCTGACTAGCAGGTGAGAGAATAAACAATGAAGCGAAAGATGGAGAACACACAAGAGTCCAAATCAAGAACCTTCATGCACTCCAGGCCAGTGAAAGCGTCCAGGCCAAGCTTGTTCACTCCTATTTTAAAAAAAAGGAAGACAGAAAAGATCTATGTGTTGTTGTGCAGGAAAGATAAAACTGGATGTCATCTTGTCACACTGAGGATGCATTTTAGTGAAAAGTGTAAATGGAACCCCGCCAAAGTTTATCCAC